GATCGGGTGGAGAGGGAGGTGGGAGGGGGGACCGGGATGGGGAATACATGTAAAACCATGGCTAATTCATTTCAATGTATGACAAAACCCACTGCAATGATGTAAAGTAATTAGCCTCCAACTAATAAAAATAAATGAAAAAAAAAAAAAAAAAGACTAGTGTGTGACGGGAATTACACATCATTCTGTGTGTGTGTGACGGGAATTACACATCATTCTGTGTGACTGCACATAAATATGATCAATCAACTTTTAACTGGGCTAAAGTTAAATGACATTTACTAAATCAAGGAAATATTACATTAGATATACAAGAGTTAAAATGTGACATTCTAGACACGTTTAGTAAAAAACTTGATGTGATTACTGGCTCTTCTTTGTTAATGCTATAGCTGAAGGAGTGCCTTCCTTAAATCCTCTCAAACAAATCAAATCCCATGGTTATGGACTTCTAATTAGTTGCAGTGTTTTATTAATCATTCTGTTTTGTCTCTGTATAGTCTGGAGAATAACAAGAAAGAAGCAGCAGCAACAGTTAGCCTTCTTGACTATATTCAGTTATCTACAAAAACAAAAAGGCGGAGATGTAGGAGACAGGCCTACTAAAAGGCCTGACAAAAGAATTAAACAATCTTGCTGAGAGGACATGATTCAGTATGGGACTCTTGAAGGAATCCAAGAAGGAACAGAAAACATCTTGAAAGCAGGATGTACGCCTGCGGATGGAAAGCCATCAACAGACTGTTCCTATCCTCGGTGCTGGGAGGCACATAAAGATTACCTGGGTCTCTGTCCTTGAGGCAGAAAAAGAGGGATACAAAAATATTAAATGTTAACTGCACAGGATTATCACTGAAGGCCACCTGGCCTGCTGTGCTCATGTAAACACATACAAGCAAGTCTCAAAAAGTATAATAAAGCAGACTTGAGATCAGTTTGGGTACCTTCACCTCGTGGGGCTGTTGGTCCCCTGATCCCCACTGTAACTTTGAGTGTTTCTCATTCTTTCGCCATGGTGGTGCTTTGGGGAACCTGTGCTGTCGAGCTGGACTCAACAGTTTTCTCATTTGTAGTGATCTCATTGGATAGGGTGAGGTTTAAGCACTTTCTCACATTCATCATTTTATTTAATCTTCTCACCAATCCTGCGAAGATACTTTGCAGTATCATTTCTATTTATACACTTGGCCCTTGGATTGTAATGCCTAGCTTTAACTAGACTTGGTGCTAAGTGACCTTTTTTCCCCCTGCCCCTCTGAAGTGACTTAGCTGTTTACAAAACTCAGTCCAAAGATGTACCACTGATGCTCAAGGCATTTACACATGATCTCCAAGAAATGTTTCTGGTAATGGAAGCATAACTTGGACAGCCTTATAGTTCATAAGATGATTACTTTGGAGGAGCAGTATTTATTTGGTTATGTAAATTGAGTGTGTGCTAATCACTTGTCACAGATATTTAGAATCTTCCCATTTATCTCTGCATGACTGGTTCTTTTTGTTCTGTTGAGTCTCACTTCATGTCAAAGACGAGTTCCCTGACTTCCATGCAAACCACCACCATGTTTTATTTTCTTCATAGTACCTATCATCATCTGGATTATCTTGTTCATTTATTGTTTGTTTATGGCCTTAACCCCAATGCCCATTTAAAATGTACCCATAATGAGAGAAGGGACCTTATCAATCTTGTTTAGTGCTGTATCCCAGGGCCTAGAGTAGTGCCAATACATACTTGTTAAATGAACAAATGTTTGAAATATTTTTGCAAGTCTCCAACTTTACCATGTTCACCCCAGAAATAAAATCAAGCAGAAGACACTGTTTAAAAGGAAGCCATTTATTATACAAAACTAAACCTGAGACAATAGAAAATAGCAACTCTTGGGAATTATAAAGGCATCAGCCCCACGCTCCACCCCCACTCCAGCAACACAAATAAAGTTGATTCCTATCGGACACTTCTACCACTAATAACCTCAAGCCTGCTGCGGTCTACACAGCAGGCTGGGCCCCAAACCACAGAAAATTCATATTGCTTGCTTTCTCCACAGAGAAAGTGAAGCCGTTGGATAGCTGTGTGGCTACTTCTGGTTCTGCTTTCCCTTGTGGAAAGGTAGCACCTGGTTTACCCTGCTCTTTTGTGAATACTTTTGTGGTAAGAGGAATAAAGAAGAAAGTCTCAGAAGCACTGACCACAAACCAGGGATGAGTCTCCATCCACAATCATTAATAAACAACTGGCCTACTTTGTACATAAAAGTGTCAGCTGAACTGGTGTAATTAAACAGGAGAAGTAAGAATGATTCTACACCTTGCATAACCATTGCCTACCCATTTTATTGCACATAATGAAATTTGAGTCCTAACCTTAGTTTGCACTTGGGTAATACTGTATTTTGTATACAATATAAACCGGTGTCTGCATTTAAATCACTTGCATACTTAGAAATCAGAGTCCTGAATTTGGCTTTTCTAAGAGTCCGTACTACATCAAATTTTAAAGTAAGTATTTTCAAAGGTCTGTCTGTCTTGTTCTTTTCTGCAAAAGTCCAAAGAGAAAACTTTCCATGCTGTTATGAAAGGCCCTTTTTATTCTTGGCTGCTCCTTGGGGTATGTGGGATCTTAGTTCAGGACCAGGGAACTAAGGATCAAACTTACCCCACTGCATTGGAAGGCAGAGTCTTAAACACTGGACTGCTAAGGAAGTCCTGAAGGGCATTTTTTATTAAATGAAAAAAGGGAGTTCCCTGGTGGTCCAGTGGTTGGGACTCTGCTCTTTCACTGCCACGGGCCTAGATTCAGTCCCAGGTCAGGGAACTGAGGTCCCACAAGCTGTGTGGCACAGTCAAAAGAAGATAAAAAGAAGCACCCTGGCAGTGAAATCCAGCCTAAATTATAACTTCCATTGGCTACATCTTCAAAGGTCACAATAAGTATGGGACCCTAATGGAAGCATCATATATGTATATATGAAGGTGAAAATGCAACTGTGACCCCATGAACTATACACAGTCCATGGAATTCTCTAGGCCAGAATACTGGAGTGGGTAGCCTTTCCCTTCTCCAGGGGATTTTCCCAACACAGGGGTAGAACCCAGGTCTCCCACACTGCAGGCGGATCCTTTACCAGCTGAGCCACAAGGGAAGCCCAATATATATATGAGCACCCCACATATATAAATGTTTATTGTGAGGTCTGTTGCAGCATTCCATTTTGTGGGATATTATATAGTTTCATGTGAGCCAGAAATTGTAAAATCTCTGATCTTTACCCCATTCAAAGGAAGTGCTATTATGTTTTAAAATAAACACTTGATGTTAGCTTTCATGTAAATAAAGAGCTAGATTTTTTAAATTTAAAAACAAACTGGTATATCACACATGGAACAGCTTAGCAGGCTGTTCAATATTAAAAACAAAACCTTATAGATACCCAAGGTTCTATTATACATAGTCTATACTGAAGTCATAAGCATCATCTTCCTCTTCAGTCTTTACAACCACATATATATGTAAATAATGTGTGTGTATATACACATGCATACATACTAATTTAAACCAGATATATTGATAAGCTATGGGATTTCTCTAGTGATAATTCATTAATATATTACAACCAGTGTAGTTCTAAGATCCAAGGTGTTCTTCCTTGTTCCACTGCCCCAGAAAAAGGAGATGATCTCCCTCTCCATTAAGCTGTATGTTTAAACCACAGTAATAGAAGTGTTTGGCTACCTCCCCAAATCTAACAACTTTTTATTTAGCCAGCCACTCATGATGGCTTAAATGTCTTGCTTCACCTCTCATCCCCTTGGGTTTAGGGCCTTGGGTGGACTTCATCAAAATGTGGTCTCAGTAAGTATTATAAAGTTATGCACTGTAACAGTAATTGAGTGAAGTTGGAATGTTTATCCCACTTAAAAGTGCCATAGAATATGAAATAATATGAGATAATTACTAGAGCTATATTGCTGGGCTGTTTCTTCCACCATAATTTTCATGAGTTTTGGGGGGAAATGGACTTTTGTAGCATATAAAGATAATAGAAGAGTTCATTTGGCAGACAGAAAAAGACCAATGACCTATAAAAATCTGCACTTTGATTCACATTGACCTATTTTAAACTTCTGAAATGATAACTTTTTCTGCTATCATTTCCAGCCTGAGTCTCCATCTCTAAAATAAAGCAGGATGATTCCTTAAGTTGACATGATATTTATTAGCCTCTGAATCTTGATACTCATGAGGTGAGAAGGAATTTCAGATATGCCCTAGATGTGAAGCAAATCAGCAGTAAGAAAAGGTGTCCGATCTAGAGCCAGTTTAATGCAGGTGGAAATCAGTGTGGGAATGGTGGCAAGGCTACTCCATCTCCAACAGAAATTGTGGAAAATCAGGCAAGAAAAGCCATTCAAAATTAAAAGGCTGACATGAAAGGCAAAGTAAGTGATATTAAAAAAATACAACTCCAGAGAGCCCAGATACAACCCACCAGGAGTTTTGCTTCACCACCAACATAAACAGTTTATAGAGCAAGAAACAGGAATAGAAATTAGGAAAAGGTACTGAATAATGAGTGGTTTAAAGAATACAGGAGAGGTTTTCATACTTTAAACCTGGCCCATCTTACCTCATTCACAGCCAAGTACTAACATGTCCCAATCACGATTGAGAGGCAGAAAGAGCTAGAAAAATAAGTTCTTTAAAAATTCTGTTGATCAGCACCTTGAATCAAATGGGGGTGTTTCATGCTTATGGTTCCCATTGAATCAAAAACTGGATGCCTTCATCTCTCCTTGAGAAGAGGCTCTATTACCATGGGCTGAGACCCTGGCTACACATGATTAGAATAAAGTATCAGTGGATAGAACTTACTCCTGGGATTCATGGTAAGATAGTGTTCATTAAGGACTCGTGCACCGGATATCCTTCATGTCCCATGGTTGAAGGACTTCCATCTCCTTAGCTCTGTCAAGTTAAATACTTGTATGAGCAATTAGAGATTTTGGTTCCTTTTCATGAAGATCTCTGTTAGGTAATCCCAAAATTTCCCCTGAAGTGTCTCATTGTTGTGGATCATGGCAGTGAGGGCTTCCCCTTGGTCCAGACCTTGCCAATAATCTTGCAGCCACATCTCCTTCCAGCTGAAACATCAAAATGAGAGTTGGATTATGGAACCTCAGTACAGCTATGAATCCTGCCTTTCTCCCAATGGCCAAAGAAATCTTCAGCAGATAGTGGTTTCTGGTTAGGACCAAGGATCTGCTTTGAGGGAAGGAAATGTGAAGTAAATCCAGTACTAATCCAAGTGACAGGCAGCGAGCCAAAAACACAAATTCATTATCCAAGCCCCTCACACACATACACACATATCCCAGTGAGTTAAATTTCCTGACTTGCCTGCTCTTGGTCTCCAAATGTGGAGGGAATTAAGAGGTAGGCAGAGCAAGGGCCAAACTATGGAAATAGTCATCTTCCTAAGAAAAGCAAGGGAGTGTATTTAGATGGTTACTTTTTATGTTACACCTGTTTCAGTAATCAAGAAGTGCAACAGTATCCAGTGTCTAGATGAGCCATAACCTGAATGTTTCTCTTTTTTTAATGTTACACTTTTTCTCTGATAAATCATATGTTCTGCACAAACTAGATACAAATTACCTGATGTAAATTACTGGGTACAAATCCACTCCACTCCCAGGACCAAACTGTGCCAGCGCTCTGCTGCCATCCACTGTCCAAGATGATCTCTGCAGGTTATTCTAGCACTCTCAAACATAATCTTTTTTTCACCCCTCCCCTAACAGGTGTGGTTTGCTGCAAGTGGCTTCAACGTTTTTTTTACCCCATCTCCTATGCTGACCTTGTTTCCCAATGCCACCACCTTCTGCTGCCTACTTCAGTAGCCTCCTCACTTCCCTTCCAATCCACCATTGGCCACAATCATTAATCATCTTTTGAAAGCATCCCCTCTATTCTGTCTAGGACAAACATAATTTATCATCCAAATCAGGGTAATTTTAAGAGTGAAAGGAGATGCTGTTAATAGTTACACCAAGTTAACAGGTATAAACCCTGATTACTGCAGACAAACCTCCCTGGAAACACTTCTGTATTTCTCATCCACAGCCCCACCATGTTGAAGATGCTCAATAAATAGCTGAGCTGATTTTCAGGACAGTCCAGCTCCAGAGCCTGGTATTCAGAATATGTATAACCTGGCCTAACTTTGTCCCTCATCACTTCCCTAAACAGGCCCTCTGCTCTAGTTGAAGCCTTTTTTGAAGCACTATTACCAAGACTTTATAAAAGCTGATTTTCCTATGTTGTTGCTCTCAATTATCTCTCACATTTTCTACTGCTCTTTTGCAATTTGTCTTCTCTTAGACTCTTGATACCTTAAAGGCATAATGACCTCATGTCATAATTTCCTCATACAACATCCCCTCAGCACCCAGGGCTAGTTTATTGCCTGCAGGAAGCAAGTCTGTAAATTTGACAGCCCAGGGGACCCCAGCTATGCTTACCTGTCATTCTCAGGAATCTCTTCCACACTGCCAAAGCCAGGTGTGGGCACCGGGCAGTCCATGTGTGAGGGCTGGGCAATATGAGGCTCAGGGACCGGGCTGTTCCCAGGAGAGGCTGCGTGGGCCTTCTCGGCATCCAGCCGCACCAGTTCGTGGTCACAGACAAAACACTCAAAGCCGTTAAGGTAGTTAGGCAGTAAGGGGTCATTCACTCCCCATTCGCGCTGCTTCAAACTATCCAGAAGAAACTGGTTAGTGACGCCCCCAGGTTGCTTGTATGCCAAGTATTTCATATATTCTTCATCATTTTTGTCCAGGAAGTCAATAAACTCTGCCAGCTTCTGCGGCGACTCAAAGTCGTCAATGAGGATGATGGAGTGGTTGCTCGGCATCCAGTCCCTCACAGAGGGAGAGCCGCGGTACACGGGTACAGCGCCGAGGTGCATGGGGCGCCACAGTTTTTCTGTCATGTAGTCGTCGCAGATGGCATTTTCGAGGGCCAAATGGAATTTATAGCGGGACAAGAAGGCCAAGAGCTCTGGATCCTCGGTGGTGGCTGTGGCTGTGTCCCGTAAGCGCGGCGCGGGCAGCTCCCGATTCTGCAGGCACTTCCCATAGGAGTCCACCTGAGTGGGGTAGAGCACGGCCGTCAAGACGCACGGCCGTCAGGAGGGTACGGCACGTCGGCCAGGACACCAGGGGTCCCAGCCTCAGCCCCACGCGCCACCCTCCCCTTCCCGCCCTGCCCGGCCTTCACCCACCGGAATGTAGCGCATGAGCTCGCGCACGTAGCGGTCCCGGTCAGCAGGCACGTCGCAGTGGGACTGCAGATAGAGCAGCGGCGCGTAGCCGCGGCGGCGCCACTGTGCGCGCTCCTCGAGCGGAGGTGCCGCGCGGCGCAGGTAAGCGATCCCCGGCAGCCACTGCAGCGGTAGCGGGTAGTCCGAGTAGCGACTGAAGGTGGCGGTAAGATTGAAGAGGCGGATGCCCGGACCGTGGCTCAGCAAGAAGTTGTTGAGGGGCGACTCCTCGTGCAGAAGCGCCCAGCTCTGGTGCGCCAGGCGCGGAAGCGGCGCCTCGGACGCGCGGAAGTCGGTGCCGTAGAAGAGCAGCGCGCGCGTCCGCGAGTCTCCCCGCACCCGTCGGTCCCGGGACGCCACGCACGCGCCGCGCGCGCACTCGATGCGCTCCGAGTCTCCCTGGAAGTGAGGAAACAGCCCCGGGCTCCACCACAGCAGCACCGGCAAGTCCACCGCTTCCTCCGTCCCGGGCCGCGGGGACCCCGGACTGCGAGCCACCCCCACTGCGCCCAGCGCCGACGGAGGCCGGAAAACCGTGCCATCCCACGGCTCCGCCCACTCCGCCTCCCCGCGGGTCTGCCCCTCCGCCGCGGGTCCTGGGCCTCTGGCCGCACAGATACCAAGCACTCCCAGGACAGCAAGCACAGACCCCGTGCTGCCGGCCCCCATGTCTACTCTGGCGGCCAACGCCCGCAGCACCGGTCCCCGCCTGGCTCTGAGTAGCGGTGGGACGAGGTCCTACGCCACAGGGGCATGTGGCGCATGCGCGGCTTAGCGGCCAGCTCAGCCGGCCACTTCCTCAGAGCCGCTAGTCCTGGCAGGAAGGACTGGCGGGAAAGTGATACGTGGCAGATTAAATGAGGCTACTGCATACATCTTAATTTATTTTTATTTTATTTCTTTACAAATTAAAGATGCATTGAAAAATAAACCAATGAAGAGAAATGAGAGGTCCAGAGCAGGGGCACCCCAGGCTGGGAGCAGGCAAGCCTGGCCACCATCAAGCCTAGCCCTTGTCCTGCCTCAGCCAGGTCGGGTTGGAAGATAACTGTCAGCCACTCTGTATCAAAGCCTGAGTGGTGTCCTAGCAGGAGAGACTTGCCACTTCTGCCCCTCTCGCCAACAGCTTGGAGAGCAGTGTTTCCAGCGGAAGCTCAGAGTAGTATGTAGGCTGGCTCTGTGAGGTATTGCAAGTTGATGACCAGGCTCCCTACAGAACCATCCAGTGTTGGGGCCGCTCTGGCTGGAAAGGAGGCTGATACCTCTCCTAGGTCTCAATATACTTTGCAACTGTTCCCAGGCTCATTCATTTCTGATAATGTGTCTCTGTCCACCAAGGGATCATCAGTCATTGCAGGAGGAGCAGTGGAAGCCGGGCAAGAGAGCTAATCAACCACCCTCAGTCACTGTGAGTTGGCTGCTGACTTCCAGGCCCAAGAAGACTGACCACTTCTCTACCACCTATGGCCTACAGCCCAGCTCTTGTGCACCTGTATGTATGTTTTCCCTAATATAGGAAGTTGTTGATGACAATGAGCTGAATCAGCGGCCCCTCCCCCCTGTAGTAACCCACTGGGATCTCCATGCCTTCCCACCTGCCCTTCTCTTCTTGGAGGCTGGTCCAAAGGGACACATAATATTGCCAGGGTCTGGGTGGCTTCAGATCCCCCAACACCAAATCATATACAGTGAACTGAGAAACTACATTCATTACGACAGGATTAGCAGGAAAAGGAGGATAAAGTGAGGGGATAGGGGCACCTTCCAACAGCAGGACATGACAGAGTGGTAGGATACTTGAGCCCAGAAAGAAGGTGTCTCCTTATACCTCCCCCTCCCCCCAAAGAGACTGAGGTCAGCTTACATGACTTATAAGATATGGAACTGTCCCAGTTTCTCTGCTGTCCTGGGTACTTTCTGGAAGCTGGCCTGGACCCTGTGCTGTTTACCCCCGTGCTCTAGCTCAGTAGCTGTCGAATCTCCTTGTGCATGTGACAGAGAAAGTCCACATAGGATGCTCCCCCACTCAGGCTCTTGTCTTCCACCAGGAAGTGTTTGAACAGCATCTCCAGCTTGTCCTCTTGTTTCACCACAATAAGCTACAGTCAGAATACAGGGTCGTGAGGCAGGGCTGAAGAGAATTAACCACATGCCCTGAAATCCCATCATCTAGTGCTCACTCTCCCACCCCTCCTTCAGAGTGAGGACTTGACAAGGTAAGAAATCCAGGTTCAGATCACTGTTACCTTCATGTACCGCGATCTCTGTGCCCTCAAACTATCAATGAGGCCTCGAACCTTCTTAGACAGCAGATTATCCAGAACTGGCAGAACACTCTGAAACACAAAATTCATTTATCCTTATGGTAAGGTACGCTGAATCCAGCAGACAAGATGAGGCAGCACAGATTTATGCATTATCTGAAATATGGAAGCCTGTGAAGAATGACAGCACCCTCCCTCTCAGCGTCCCCTGCTATTTAAGAGAATGAGCACACTATCTTTACTGGCTTCTACTCTTATCATGAAGCCTACTTCCACACCCACATTCTCCTTGATGCCCTGCCCTCACCAGGCCACTGGTGATCTGACTGAAGGAGGAGACGCCGAAGAGGCTCTGGACAACACCCTGCTGGACACTTGCTCCCACCCAGAGGAAAAGGTTGAGCCCGTTCTCCAGCAAATATATATCCCCGTTGCTTAGACGCTCTTCAGATGCTCGAACTGCTGGTGGTTCAGTGGTATTCTCAATGGGAGACTTTGTCTGGACAAAAGGAAGAGGGCAAAAGGTTACCAATGACTGTAAGACTCGTTTGCCCACCTGCACCTTCCCATTGTGCATCCCCATACACACAAAATTTCTAAAAACTAAGCCCCTGAGTAGCTCTAAGTATGAAAATATTACATCAGATAATATAGGTAAAAAATGTATTTTTGTCAGATACAGACAATATTAATCCTTCCCTTCCTCCTCCTATGACGCCCCTTTCTCAGTATAGTGTCTCATACTCCAGCATTCAGTCGCACCAATGGTAGGAGCCGAGGATAGAAGAAGACATTGGTCTCAGCCACGTCCATGGAGGTAACCAGCTGCCGGACATAGGCACGGTCATCAGTAGTGACTTCAGCTCCAGGCTGCAGGACCTCACTCTTCAATACACAGTTCAGATAAACAGGGAGGAGCTTCATGCACTCAGGGAGGATCAACTAAGGGAGTTATCAAAACAAAGTCAGTGATCATAATCATGAGAAATCCCTCCCAATGCAAAGGTGTATCCCAACACCTTCTCCACCAACAAGCTCGCCCCACCTGTCCCGCAGAGGAGGGGCTGGCACAGTTCTTTCTGTAACAGGCCAAGATCTGGGCACACTGAGTGATGAGAGTGTCACGAACAGTCTTCACAGGGCTGCTCAGGACCCCCCGGTATGCTGGACGGGAAAGGAGACCGTGTGCTCACTGGTCAGCCACTCCATCACAGGTGCCTTCCCACCGTCACACCCGCCCAGGAGTGCTCAACTGTTGTCCATCCTCTTAGCCCCGAGCCCTCTGCCCGGCCTCTGCCCTCACCAAACTTGGCCATGTAGTTGATGAGCGTGTCAGTCTCACAGTTTCGGTACAGATCAGCCAGCTGAGTGCAGCAGTTGAGAGCCAGGTTGTGGATGCGGAGCCGTCGCTGCCCCGCACAGCTGGTGTAGAGCAGGGCACACTAAGGGGAGAGTGAGAGGGGTAATTCACACCCCTCCCTCTCCAAGAGCCTCACGACACCTCCTCTTTGCTATATTATGAAGCTAGAAGAAAGATGGGAGCTATCCCTTCTCCAGCCTCTTCCAGTCCTCTCTGCGCACCCCTCACCCCCTTCCCTACAGCCTACTTAAATCCAGTGAAGTGACCGCTGACACTTCTTCCCCAGCCCCTGCCTCCTGTCCATCACCTGCAGGAGGGCTCCGTTCTCTTCATTGAGCCGATCGTCATGCTTGAACTCCACAGTCACCGTCTTGTCCCCATCCAGCCCAGCCAGCTCCACATCTGTGGTGTTGCTCATGTAGAAAGCCCCAAAGAAATCTACAGCACGGATTCCTGAGGCCACATGGACAGAGACATGGTTAATGGTATGACAGGTGCCCAGACTGAGGGCCCCCGCTCAGCTGTTTGACTCCAACCAGAACTGACCAGTGCTTGTCCGGACCCGCATCACAGCATCAAAGCCAACGACCTTCTGGACGTCCCGACGCAAGTCACTCAGGAACCGTTCCTGGTCGTTCTCCACCTGCATCCCCAGCCCAGAGTCACATCACCTACTACATACAACCCGCCAGCAATCCCTGTACCCTCTCCACTCTACAAGCCTGCAGAATCATAATGACAGTAAGGTAAAGGTAATAATAACGATGTTATTAGTTAAGTTTTAAGCACTTATTACATGCCCAGTACTACATTAAGTGCTTTACATGTGCTCACTTAATCCTGATGACAAACCCTACTTAAAAACTATTTAAAAATCCCATTTTTAACGATAACCCTATATGCAAAACAGAAAAAGAGACTCCTATGTATAGAACAGACTTGTGGACTCTGGGAGAAGGCGAGGGTGGGATGTTTCAAGAGAACAGCATTGAAACACGTATATTATCTAGGGTGAAACAGTTCACCAGCCCAGGTTGGGTGCATGAGACAAGTGCTCGGGCCTGGTGCACTGGGAAGACCCAGAGGGATTGGGTGGAGAGGGAGGTGGGAGGGGGGACCGGGATGGGGAATACATGTAAAAAAAAAAAAAAAAAGATACACTATGGTTGTGATTAAAAAAAAAAAAAAAAACAGCAAATCTTAAAAAAAAATAAATAAATAAAAATAAAAATCCCATTTTATAGATGAAGAAACAAAGAAGAAAATAAGTAATTTATCCCAGGTCATATAGTGGGTAAGTGGTAGAACCAGAATATCAACCCGGGGCTAATTTCAAGCCCCTTGCTCCTGTTCGCTACACTCTTTTCTTTACATTGTGTGGTCTTCTCAATGATATTCCTGTCAATGAGTTAGCAGCTAAGGAGCCACTCCACTTGTAGGCAGGCATTCCAGTCCTGCCTCCACCTGCCACCCAGAGTCCCATGCCATACCTGAAAGCAAGCGTATTTATAGACAGAGCCACCAGTGAGCTGGGGTACAACAGAGAGGGTGGCCACATCCACATACTGGTTAGGGAAGAGGAAGAGGTCTACGCAGCAGCCTTGGGCCACACACTCTTTGGCCAGGGTCTGATAGGCACCTGACTGAGGCTGGAACAGAGTCTGGGGAGGAAGAGAAGAAGATGTTCAGAGACCTGAGTTCCACCCTGTTTGAGAACTATGTATGTAATGCGGGCAATTATTCAAAGACACCTAAGACTTCAGAGCTATCTTACAGTTTGCAATAGCAGTAGAACATTCTCTTTAAAAAGTCTACCAAGGGCTTTGGGATGAGATGGGGTAGAGAGGTGTGGGAGTGGTGGAGAAGGCTGGCAGTCACAGATATGAAAGGGCAGAGGATCTAGTCCCAGTACCCCCTCAAGAAAGTTAAGAGTATTGCACTGTAAAGAGACAGCAGCACGATCCTCTGTGATGGGAAGTCCTCCCCCCAGCTCCCAGTCCCACACCTTCTCCTTGTCTGTGTTGATCAACTTCCTGTCATCTCTGTTCTTCAGTTTCCCTGGGGCCTCTGCAATGGGCAGGGAGGTGTGGAACAGAAAGAGCTTCCCTGCACACTCAGCAGCCTAGAAGAGAAGAGAGATCTACTGGTCCATTCTTTCCTTTATTCATCCATTATTCATTCATCCCTTCCCTCATCATATATTCAGTGCCAACTATGTCAGACAAGCTGACTCACTGGACAGTCACCAGTCACTAAAGAAACAGGGGTTGTATCCCAGAGGTAAGATGCTCAGAAGAAAGTGTCACAGAGGCGGCTGCCCAGGACTCTCGCCTTACCTTCAGAGCCTCCATCCCAGCCTGAATCACTGGGGCAAATACTGTCTCCGTCTCCCTTGTGTCTGCAAACATTTCTGGAATCTGATCCAATAAGCTGAAGAGATAGGTGATCAGAGGCAATCAAAACTGCTATCCGAATGTCAGATCCCTCAATTCCCCCAAAAAGTCATCTGGCCCCAGACTCTGAGAACTCCTGAGGCATAGCCTCTGCCCATCTGCTGAGCCCTCTACTCAGCACTGGATTTCTGTGGTTGTTCCCTGCCCTCCACCTCACTTTACCCCCACAGTCTGACTCTTACCTGGTGATGACGGCCCGAGACTCATTGACATTGACCAGGAAGCCATCCAGCAGTGGTACAAACATGTCACCCACATCAGATACAACCATCATCTGTGGCTGGGCCAATGAGCTCTTCACATTGTAGAAGTGGAGCACCTTATTATAGGTGACAAAGCCAACTCGGATTGCTGACTCTTCTGCCCCGCCCTCCCTGCAGAAAGGGACATTGTTACCCAGACTTGCCACCTTCTCCACCAGCCAACTTTATGACATCAGGATTCATGTGCTGAGTTATCCCAACGACCCACCCCTGTGCCCCCTCCCCAGCCATCATCATCCACAGGAAGTACCTTGGCTCCTAACTCTCACCTAGGCAAAAAGTCTAACAGCGACTTGAGCTCCTCACAGAGGAGCCTGACAAGACCACTCCTGACGGCATTGTAGGAGACATCAATCATAAAGATGAAGGCAGGAGGGACGGGGAACTTATTGTTCTGCAAAAGGAAATGTTGGAGGGGAGAGGGGTATCGGTGAGCAGGTCAGTTGACTAGTGATAAGTCACCATCCAAGGGGACAATGACAGGGTGAGGGAAAGGACCACAGCAAGTCTCAGCTGTCTCATTGTCCTTCACCCACTGCTCCTCCCCATGGTACCCTCCCTCACCTTGCAGTAATCTACAGTGGCCAAGAATTCATAAGAGCCCAGAGACAGCTCAGGACGGTCATAAGCATCCACACGCTTGCCGGTATGATCCAGGTGTTGAAAATACTGGGGAGGAACTGTGGGGAGTAGGGCAGAGTGTTACTCATGGGTCCGCTTTCAGTCCTAATCTGGTCCTGGCTGAGCTCACTCTAAGGCCCCACAGCCCCGAGGCACCTTCATGTCCCCATCTCCTAAACAATGGAGCCTCATCTATCTAACTAGAAAGAGACTAATGAAGCTGCAATCCAGATCCCCCAGCCCCAGCCTCTGCGAACATACCATCGTTGATACAGCTGCAGAAGCAGCACTGGAAGCGTCTCCCTCCCTCAACAAACTGCATAAAGGGGCACATGTATGCTTTGCAACGATTGCAGCGCAGAGGGCCAGATTCCCCATGGTCGACAACATACGGTGAAGCCTAAAGAGCAAAGGAGAGGGGTTCAGACACAGAAGGAAGCTACAGTGATATGTGGCAATAGATGAGGAGGAACAACCTGGAGGGAGGAGGACATGGCTCAGACAGTCTGCCTGAGGAGGGAGCAGAGAGAAGGGGAATGAGGACAAATGTCCCTCAGGGTCTAAATACTATGTCTCTCTCCTTACTCCTCGTCTCTAGAATTTCATTTCTTGAAAGAGAAAAGCAACAGTGGAACTGGCCCAGACAAACCAGGGGCTGACATGGGCGCATGAGGAGAAAGTTGGAGATTACCCAGGATTCTCATTTCTGGCCCAGTCTTCAATCCCCTTCCTTCCTGCCCTAGGATCTGGACTCCTGCTCCCTTTCCCACCCAAGTATCTGTGACACTTGTCCTCCCCAATCCCTGGATTTCCGTGACACCTACTGACACCCCAGGCAGATGTTACCCTACAGGCAAGTGTCCAGCCATCCTCATTGAGACCCAGGAAAAGAGAAAGAGAAAAAGAGAGAACAAGACAAAGCAGCAGGATGTAAGGTGAGTCCTGAATGTCCAGTTATAGAGAAATCCCCCCCAAGTTCATTAAGGCGTGAACACAAGGGCATCTACACCACGGCATGGCGCAGCAGCTCCAAGTGCTCTCTCTTTTCATCCTGATTCCAGGTGCTGGGTGACAGATTATAGCCCAAACCAGGTGAAAGAAGGACCCCTGGATTCTGTTTCTTAATATGCTGTCCTAATATGTCTAACCTACCTGGGATGACAGGACAGAGTACAAGAAAAACCAGAGCGATGTGTCTCTCATCACCTGGTGATGACCATGCTATGGGAGGCTCCTGCCTTCAGCTGTCTTCTCCCCTACAAGTTGGCCTTGATTCTTCAAAATGTGTTTCACGTGTGAACTCTGCTCCCATCCAGCAATTTCTTGGGCTTTTGCTTTCCTCCCTATCACCCTCTTCAGGCATGGGCCCTGGGATAGAAAGCTATTGACGATACGCTCCCCTCCCGACCAACCAAGCCTTTGTCCACTGTGACTGGCAGAATCACACCTAGGAAGAAGTCTTATCCTCGCTCCCCCTCACTTCCTCCCTCTTATTATACTCTAGTCCGTCCCTGACTCACCTCCTCTGGGGGCAGCCTTGCCAGCGGCTTGATGACAGCTGCCAGGGGCACCTGAGCCTGCTTAGCCATGTCAGAGGTGCAAGGGATGTTATAGGATGTGCATCGAATGTACCGGGGACTTGCATTTCCTGAAGGAGGAGATGAAAAAGCTGAGTTAGATCACAGAATCACTCCAGACACCAGCTTGCCATTGTTGACCCACCCCATCACCCCAACAGACGCTAGAGGTGATGGTGGCTTTTCCCCCCTACAGACCAATGAGGGACTGGTCTCTGACCAAAGACTGACAAAAGCCCCATCCATAAGCTGATAATGCTGGAGAAAAAGTCCTGCAGCGACAAGTTATTGCCCTTCTCACCTTGGTCTTTCACCAGGAAGTTGGTGGTGACTAAGGGTGGCACCTGGCCCCGTAATCCAGTAACAAATGGCTCTGAACCCCGGTTGTTCCTGTCATCTTCAATAACCTGAATCTGTAGGGAAGAAGTGAAATGAATGAAGTTGACAGATGAAAAGGGAGAAGGGAGTACCACGTCCCAGAGGCAGAAGAAAGAAAGGCTGGAGCTGCAGCACAGAAACTAAGAATTTGCCAAGGAACACACCTCATGCACCAGGCCTACTCTCCTTTTGGACATCACATAAAATGCTGTAATGCCAATCTTCCACTCTATAGTCAGCAGCAACATGCTGCATGGGTAACACTGAGAAAGGGCTTCTGTATGAATCGCCCTGACCCCCAATAAACAGTGATCACCCTGTTACAATACCTACTCCAGGAAAGCTCCAGCTCTAATCACAAGCCTTCAGACATGGTCAGATTCCACTTCCCTCCCCCATTAAGGCTTCCCCTCCCCTTCTCTCCCCAAGAGCAGGAAAACAGACAACAGTAACCATGTAAAAATGAAAACTACCTGGAATGACTCTACACTCAATGAGAGTAGAAGGGACAGGGCGAGGAGAGGATTACACAGCCAGAAATGATCAGGTAAGGTGAGGAAGCAGATGCTGCCTTATTTTCAGGTAAGCATCAGTGTGTAAATATGGGAGAAGAGGATCTTATAGCCCAATCCTCAGTCCCCCACATTTTGACAGACCCAGCGAAGGAAAAAAAGAGATATTGCAAAGCTGGTGATCAGATCTTCGTGCAGACTGATAACCTTTGTCAGTTACTTCAAGATGGGTTTGGTAAAACCAGAAAAGTAAAGGGAGAATAAGATTCTGTGTCCCATAGAATAAAGAGCTGAAGCTTCGAAATATATCAAACAGACTCTCCAGATGAGAAAGTGACCCACACTTTCCCAAACCAGCAGTCCCTTTCCCTCTAAGAAATGCCAGTTTCCCAAGCTTGCACATTAGTAGCTACCTACCCATGTTTCTCCGCAACAAGTTGTAGACAAATCAAACCCAAAAGGGAAGGATCTACTGTTTTGTTCTGTTCCATCATATGTCACAGGCAGGCTCCTGGAGGAGCCAGCAGGACTAAAACCAAAGCTTAACAAGCTACTTGATCCCACCCTTCGAGCCTGACATTCTACCATCCCATACTTAAAGGCACTGCTAACAGCTTGCTACTTCATTATATGGTGACTTGAGGCATGCATATCCTTCTAGCTTGTAAAAGCAAGGGTCTAGAAGGACTACGGGAAGAGGATGGAGAGGGATGGACATGGTGGATGAGGTGAAGACGAGGTCATAGGCATGCACGGGTGATTTAACACAGGGATGACACACACACCCACCCCCTGCACTTACTGGACTAGGAATGGCATCAGGGTCTATTCTGTGCCTGGTTTTCTGCTGAGGAGGCAGCTCATTGAGTTGCTTTTAGTGTTTTAATAATAAAGGCAGCAGGGAAATACAGGGAGGGAGACAAAAGAACAAGAAGCAGATGTTACTTCTCTCAGCCCTGATGAGTTAGACATGAACAGCTGGAACCCAGCTCCTACTGCTGAAATCAGGCCCCCTCTTGATCAGAAATTCCTAATTTTTCTGGGCCAAAAAAGAGCCTTTAATGGCTTAGACTATGATGTAGGAAGATAAGGAAGGGGGCAAACAGGAGGCAAGATGGGTTACATGGAGGGGCTGAATGGGAGAAGTTTTAAGAAGGAAGAAGAGGGATGTTCCCTCCAAAAGGCCAAGCCTCCCATGTAAGAACTACTCTTACGCTCAAAGAAGCCTCACCTCACATCCAACCAAACTCTCCTTCTCACTAAAGGAGGAAAAAGGAAGGAGGCCCTGCTCCATCCTCTAGGGTCCCCCTTAGCCAGCTGGGTCCCTCACCAGGATGGTTCCCCAAAGGAAGAGGGAGGAGAACAGGATGGATATGACGATGGCTAAGCATGGTGGGGCAGCTGACAGCAAACGGTGCAGACGAAACTGTAAAGTGGCCTCCGCCTGGGAGCACAGCACCAGCCTCTACTCGAGTATGACGAGGAGGGTCTGAGCCTCTGATGGCTCTAAGGGTGAGAGTCACCCTCTCCCTGGGAGAAGGAGCTCCCCACATTGCCCTTGAAACTGTAGATCACTTTTCTCCATCCACATAGCAGAAGACTGGCAAACAAAAGTATTGAAGGCTTTCTCCTAAAACACTATCCAGGTAGAGGCAGAAAGAGTCCAGAGAGGCTTTCCTTTCCTCACCAATAACACCAGAGATTCCCCACCAGCTCTAACCATTAAGAAGACTGCTATCCTATCCTCCTAGATCTAAGAGGACAAGACCTGGACACAGCCAGTACTCCAGAGAAGAGCAGAGGCTACCAGGCTCTGTCCAGTGGTGACAGAACACTGCACTCAACCCAGAGCTCTATGACACTGCTGATCACTCCTGGCTTCCCTTCCTTTCCTGCCCAGCTATGAAGTAAAAATACCCCTAAAATACTTCTGGGACGTCAAGTTCTATTTAAAGAGTCAAAAATTACATGTAGGCTCTACACCTACAAGATGACGAACAAAAGGGAAAAATAATCAGAAAAGGCTAGGCAGACATCTCATCTAGGTTGACTCACTTATCTGGTAGCCACAAGCTCCTTCCCCAGGACCACACAAGTATCTACTTACAGGGCTCGGGATGGCATCAGGGTCCAGGCGCTTGGGAGGCAATGGTTGAGGAGGCCCAGGCTGACTGCCAAAAGTGGCTGCTCCTGGGTAGGGACTTCCATAATTGGACTGAGGGCCCCGGGCTGGTCCAAAGGAACCTGAGAGACAAGGGCAAGGTTGATGAACAAAACATTCCTTCCCTATCTCTTCTTAAGGCCTCACGGAAATGACTAGACTCCTATTATAAACATAGAATTGAGAGGTACAGTAATAACCATTCAGAGAAAGCCTATGTTATCTGAACTATGAGAAAAAACAAATCTTATAAATCCCACATCTTAGTAATAATACCCTGAAGTTGTCTATCTAGTTCACCACTTAGCAAGTAACACTAGAAGCAAATAACAACAACAATGAAAACACCTGAATAGCTGAAGCTTTTGGCTCCTAGGTAGTCCTTGGGGAAAACTCACCATTTTGCTGCAGCTGATAGCCTGGCTGCTGGGCGGAGTGCATAGGTGGTGGTGGTCCTGGGGGCCCAGTCATTTGGGTACCAGGGGGCAGAGCTTGAGGAGGAGGTGAGGACACATGGTTGGGCTGGCTCACTGGGGGCCCCCCAAAACTCTGTCCAGGCAAGAGTGGACCAGTCATCGAAGGCATCCGAGGACCCCCTGAGACGGAGGGTGTGAAGCTGGAGGCCTGTGGTGGGACAGATCGCGGGGGAGGCTGGGCCCCCGGATGACCCTGGCCAAGGGGAGGAGCTTGGCCCTGAGGATAGGAGCCATACAGACCAGAATTAGGGAAACTTCCTGAGGCTGAGGCCAGTGACGTTGGTGGGCCTGAGAAGTAGAAGAAGTAGAGTCAGAACCCCAGTCATTATGCCTCCCTGTTCAGTAAACCACTTTCCTTTCCACCTGAGGGTCAGGAATGACTTGTCCCATCTGCTGGGGCTCAGAGGAATAAATAAAAGAAATAAAAGGGATCCAGGTATACCCTGAGACAGATGCCTCTAAAACGGAGACAGTATTCCTGTGGTCATAGGTACTCACCATAGCCCAGCCCCGAAGGGGGAGGGGCTGGGGCCACAGCACCACTGATCTGCATTCCGGCCAGCTGAGCAGTCACCTGTGCACTTGTCGGGGGAGGCCCATAGGGCTGAAGCACAGCTGGCTGACTGACCACAGGGGCCAATGGGGCAGACGCAAATGGCTGAGACCCAGGGAGCCTGTGAAGAGATGGAAGGCAGAAGCTTCTAGTGGGCCAGGAAACCCTTCAATGTTGATAGGAGCCCCACATTATATGGGAAACAATACTGTTTTACAGCATCTTACTCTCATCTGGGCTTTTATATGGCGTCATATTTTTATATATTTGTGAATAAATCACATTCCTCATAATCTACACTGTGATTATTCAGGGCAAACCTTGTTTTCCATTAGGTTCACTCCAAAAACATGTGCCAAGCACCCTCAGATCAAACAGTATTTACTCTGGTAGTTAGATTATCACCTCCTCTGCCTTAATCCTTTGTTGACAAACCACTTCGGTTCTGTATTCAAAAGCACTGAAGAAGTAGAAATGAAAGGTGCACAGAAGCATTAACACAACAGAGGCTTAATAAATGTGGGCTTGAACAAATGTAGTTTGATTGTTTAACTTTTAAACCAAAGGATAACTCAATCCTGGGAAAGGTATTAGAAAACTCTTAAGATCAGAAGAGCTGGTGAGCTGAGTTTGGCATTCTGTACTAAGGAGAAAGATGATGCTAGCTCACCAGAGTTAAGGACCAGACACAGAGGATATAAGTCAGGCAGCCTGCTAGCTAAGTCTATCCAGCAGTCTTATTACTTGAATAGCTGCGCTGGACACTCCCATGGTACCAGCTGCCACATTAAAATACAAATGCAGAATCAATGCAATATCACTGCATACCAACGAGCCATTGCACCAGTGGTTTACAGTAATATTACTGCAGAAATCTACAGCATAGATTATTGTACATAACAAGCTCCTTCTGGGATTTCAAGAATGAATCAAATTCTTCACCATAGTAGCCTGTTACACTGAAATCCTGATTTATCCTTCCTGTTTATTTTGTCTCCACTAAATAACTGGAACTGTATTATGTTTGGTCAGCTTCTTCTGGTCCTGCAGTTTCACACTTTTCATTTGTTCATTTCAGGGCATTAAGCTAGTGAAACTTACCTCCCTAAGCTCTTTGCCCGGTTTTACAGTTTTTGTCTTCCATAGCAACAAACTACTGTTAGCCCATGGAAGATGCTTATAAATCCTTGTCAGAACAATTGTATTCCATGGTACTACCCTATTAACATGGATAATACTCTCAACTGCCTACTGGTGTTCTATCATATAAACCAACATCTTATTTGCACATAGCTTTATAATTTACAAAGCATCTCTAAATGCTGTAATTCTCACACCAAATTAATGAAGGGAAGAGAGCAGATGGAAAACTAAAACACTCAGGGTAAAAGCAGCAGGCTAAACTAGAACTAGAAACCAGGTCCAGGCCCAATTCTTACTCCAATGTACTTTACTTTAAAATTGTGAAATGTAACATAAATAGAAAAAAAATACTTAAATCATGTGTACTGCTGAATAACACAAACACCCACGTAACCAAAAGGCAAGTCAAGAAACAGAATATACCAAAGGCCCTGTGTGCCTCTTCTCCATTACAACACTTTCCTTTGTCCCAAAAGTGAAAGTGAAAGTCACTCAGTCATGTCCCTGACTCTTTGCAACCCCATGGGCTGTACAGTCCACAGAATTCTCCAGGCCAGAGTATTGGAATGGGTAGCTGTTCCCTTCTCCAGGGATGTTCCCAACCCAGGGATCAAACCCAGGTCTCCCACATTGCAGGGGGATACTTTACCAGCTGAGCTACTGGGGAAGCCCCCTTTCTTCCAAAGATAATTACTTTCCCAACTTTCTAAAAATTGTTCCCTTGTCTTTAAAACAATATAATTCAAAAAAAAAAAACCAATATAATTCAGTTATGTCAGGTTTTCAAACTTTTGTAAACAGTATCACATCATACATTGAGTTTTGCTCATAATTAACCTATAAGTTTAATTACTGGTTTATATGATACGATATCTTTAATTTTAACAGATAATTCCAAGTTATTTTCTCACGGTAGTTGTACTGATTTACATCTGACCACCAGTGGATGAGCGTTCCTGATAATCCATATGGTCAGCAATATTCAGTACTATTAGCTTTTTAATTTTGCCAATCTGATCGATACATAGGAGAATTCTGTTGTGGTTTTTAACATTTACTTTTTCTTCATTTATGAGGTTGAACTGCTTTTTGATTTGTTCTTTGGCCATTAGTATCCCTTCTTTCATAAAATACTATTCCGGATTTTGTTTATTATTTTTTCAACTGAACTGACTTTTTCTTATTGACTAGTAGGGGTTCTTTACATATTCTGGACACTATTTTATGTTTTTATCTACTTTGTGTGTAAATATCTTTTTCCATTCCGGAACTTTTCTTTCCAAAGTACTTCCCATTCAATGTCTTTCTCCTTGATCATTCCCATCAGCACAAAAACATACAAATATCTCAAAAAATAACCAACTATTAGTGAAAACAACCCACATGTCCATCAACAGATAAATGGATAAAGAACATGTAGTAGTACAATCATACAGTGAAATACTGTTATAAAAAGAACGAAGTACTGATACATGCTACAACATAAATGAACACTGGAAATATTATGCTAAGTGAAAGAAATCAGTTACAAAATATATATGATTCTATTAATATGAAATATCCGGAATAGGGAAGTCTATAGGGACAGAAAGTAGATTAGTGGTTGTTTACGGTTGGAGGAGTGAGGGATTTAAGGACAAGCTGAATAGGGATAGCTCCTCAGATAAAGAATACTGTGTGTCTTCTTGAGGTGATGAAAATGTACTAAAATGGACGATAGTGATGGTTGCACATATCTGTGAATATACTTAAAATCATTAAATCTGTGCACTTTAAATGGGTGAACTGCATGGTATATGAATTACATCTCAATTTAATTGGATTGGATTTAAAAAATCCAATCAAATAAAATTGCCCTAAGATCTCACATCCCCCTCAAGCTTTTATATTTTACCAAACATTAGGAAAAAATTGGTCCATACATTTTCTTTTACTTTGGCCACACCATGCAGCTTGTGGAATCTTAGTTCTCCCTTCAGGGATCAAACCCGAGTTCTCCGCAGTGGAAATGAGGAGTCCTAACCACTGGACCGCTAGGGAAGTCTCTGTCTCTACTTCTTTAATTACTATTCCTATCTCTTTTAAAAGATCTTTCTTTCTAGGTTCATCTTCCTTTTTTTCAACTAGTCTATTCCCTGGTACTTTTCTCAGCCAGGGCCCATACAGGGTAAATTCTGTCTCTGAAAACATCTTTATTTGCCCTCTCTTAGGTAGTTACATAATCCTGTGTTGACAGTTACAGTCCCTTAATCAATGTACTAGTCTACTATCTGCTCTCCTTTCAGAGTCCAATCTTTTTTTTCCTTTGAGAAATCCCTGAATTGAGGAAGAGTGGTTGTTTAGCATTTGATTTGCTTCTGGAGGGTACTCCAATGATACTGCTGTCCAGTATCAAAGTTTTTTTTAAAGTTTAAGTTATAATTTCCACATCATTAAATTCACTCCTTTTAAGTGTACAATTCAATGATTTTTAGTAAATTTAGAGAGCTGTGCAACCATCACCAGAATCCAATTTTACAATACTTTCACCACCCCAAATGACCCCTGGTATTCACATGCAGTTCCAAGACACCCCGCCCCCCCATCCCCCTACAACTTATCCTCAGCCAGCCTGGGAGAATCAGGACTCCTTATTATCTCCCTCTGCCAGTGTACAGATTTTTTTTTTCTAGTTTACCTGTTTATTGAAGTGTAGCCTAAGTCCAGATTTCATAAACAAGATTTCAGTTCTAAACCTCAGCTCAGAAATGCCCAAGGTACCTGCTTAAACTTAAGTCCCCAGGTTCTCAAGATAGTTTCCACCCTTTGCACAGGCAGCCACAGTGTCAACTTACCACTCTGATTTTCAGTTCCCACTTGTTATCTGGCAATTGAGGATTTCACTTTCCTTGAAGCTTGATTATGCATTTGAAAAAAATTTTTTTTGTTTCTATTTCCTCTCCCCTTTCTAGACATTTGTAGCAGAAGGGTTTTAGGTTACACTAATCCACTTCCCAGCTGAAATTCTTTCACCTGCTCCAACTAGACAGCTGCCTTCATATCTCCACTGAAACTACATTTGTCAATGATGTCATACCTTGCCAAACCCAACAGTCAATTCTTAGTCTACATCTCACCTTTCAGCAGCAAGTGACACACCTAATTACTCTTGTGACTTCCTCAAATACTTTATTTGCCTAATTTCAAGATGCTATGACACCCTGGCTCCTACCTCACTACTGGTCTTTCTCATTGCATTTTGATGGTCCCTACTCTGAATGCCTTTTATAATTTGGTAAGCTCCAAGTCTCAGTCCTCTGGGCTTACATTCAATGCTAAAAATGTATATTCTAGACACCTAATAGAAATGTCAGAAAGCAACTCTTCCACTACTACATACCCTACAGCAGTTATACTTTATTCTTTGTTTACCAAAAAACAAACAGCATTCCAACAGAGATGACTGTCCTCCATTAATGGACTTCCACACAGAGACAGGGGTTTATTGGGTCACACACCACCAAAGTTTTCATCATTTATGTAGTTTTCCTTTGAGGATCTTTCCTTTCATGACTGGTCACACCCAAACTTAACCAATAAGTCCTACTAAGTGCCTGTTCTAGAGGAAAAGGGGAAGTCAAAAGAGACATAAATAATCATGTTTCCTTCTTCCTGTTTCTTCCTTAGGGTAGGTTCTGAAGGACCATAACAATTATTTAAGATATATGTCTAGTCAAGGAAAAAACTCAAGTTCACAGAAATAGAAAGAATATGCCAAAGAACACAGGTACTTAAATGAGTCAATAACCCAGAGAGCCACAGCAGCAGCACCTATAATCTGGAAAAATGAAAACAAAGAAAGATGAAGGGAAGAACAAAAGGAATCTAAGAGAAAAACAAAGGGAAAAAAAAGAGAAAAAAAGTAAAATAGGCCCTCATACATTCCTAATCCTTCCAGTCTCATCAGACCAATTTTCGGTTGACCCAAGTACATACCTCTGCATCTGAACACCGGAGCTTGGTCCATTCTGCACATCTCCTTGACCAAACTGGCCATATGCAGTCTGGCCACAAGGGCCCTGTGCTGTCGAGGTTGGAGGTGCCCCTGAAGAAGCTGGGGCTCTTGAAACACCTGAGGGTGATGAAGAGAAGCTAAGAAATTAGGAAATTTCTCCTCCACCATGAGCAAGGAATGCAAAGCAAGGATCAATAAGCTCAGACCTTCACTGCAATATCACAAGTGTAATATCATAGCTTGGCAATGAAAAGGACACCATTAGTATGCAACTCCAGTTACAGGAGATTCTGAACATGGATGCCCAGCCAGAGAGTTTTCACTCTCTTAAACAGGTATACTAGGTATACTATTAGTGAAGCTGTAGTCAGAGCCACAAAAATGTAGGGCCTTCCTGTGATCACTATACACTCTCACCCAATCCAAGATGGTCTAATATTCTTACCCTAGACAAAAAATCAACTCTTTTAAGGAAAAGATCTCACCCTAGAACTCAGAAACTTAGAACACATGCGAGGAAGGTGGCTTAGAAGATGACCAAGCAACATGCTGAACTAAGTTGTAAAGAGATACCTATTGGGACTTCCCTGGTAGTCCAGTGGTTAAGAATCCACCTTGCAATGCAGGGGATGGAGGTTCAATTCCTGGTGGAGGAATTAAGCCCCTGCATCACAACTAGAAATCCATGTGCTGCAATGAAAGATCCCGCATGATGCAATGAAAACCCAAGGTAGCCAAGTAAATAAATAATTTAAAAAAAATTTTTTTTTTTTTTTTTAAAGAAAGATGCCCCTTAGAGAGACTATTCTGCCAACCTCTTCTTCATATATTCTACAGATCCTAATCAGCTTCTTCTCATCCACTTCTAAGTGTTGACACTCCCAGTAGTTCATGGCTCAGGGAAATGTTCCCATGGGTTGGAGACTTTGTTTCTGCCCAATGATTCAGTCAAGACAGGCTGTACATGTGTGCTAAGTCAATTCAATTGTTGCTGACTCTGTGCGACCCTATGGACCATAATCCGGCAGGCTCCTCTGTCCATGAGGATTCTCCAGGCATGAATACTGGAGTGGGTTGCCATGTCCTTCTCCAAGGGATCTTCCTGACCTAGGGATCGAACCCATGTCTCTTACGTTTCCTGCACTGGCAGGCAGGTTCTTTACCACTAGCACACCTGGGAAGCCTCCAGGACAGGTCTCCCGCCCTCCAGTTAACGGCTATCGCTTATGTCTTCACAAAAGCTGCACTACTCGTGTTCTACTCACCAGAGCTGCCATCAAAGCTACTTCTACGACTGCTAATCATCCTTCCCACATGAAATGCAGGAAGAAAGCAATTAGTTACTTGGCATATCACTTTGGAAATGCTGCCAACCCCTGTTCAAACTACTGTTTTTCTTTTGCTCTCAGTAGAGATTAGACACTAGAGAACCTGCCTGCAGGAATATGATTAATCTGAATTCACTAGCCATTCACTAGCCTGCTCACTAGCCATCACAGAGCCAGATATGTTTTCCTCTCAGCAACAGAGCTTCCTCTTGGGGCAATGCCAGCTCCATCTTGATAAGCCACAACTTGGCAAATCAGATGTGGACTCTGTCCTGCCAAAGTCCCAACCCAGAGTAAGGCTCTTCCAAAGCCCTGAGACCTAATCTCATCACTCTGAATTTTTTTTTTTTCCCAAAGTCATAATTAAAATGGTAATAACTTTGGGAATTCCCTGGTGGTCCAGTAGTTAAGACTGAGCTTCCATTGCAGGGAGCATGGGTTTGATTCCTGGTTGGGGTACCAAGATCTCACATGCCACACGGCAAAATGAAAGAAGGGAATAACTTCATTCATTTCTCAAATTTTACCTATGCCTCTTTAGTGCCTTCTTTTTCACATATCTCTTTATGGAATTAACTCTCTTAAAAAGCATAAAGCATCTGGCATACCCTAAGGCCCTAACCCTAAACCTGGCTTCTCTGGTAGCTCAGATGGTAAAGAGTCTGCCTGCAATGCAGGAGGCCTGGGTTCGATCCCTGGGTTGGGAAGATTCCCTGGAGAAGGAAATGGCAACCTACTCCAGTATTCTTGCTTGGAAAATCCTATGGATGCAGGAGCCTGACGGGCTTGGCGGGCTACAGTCCATGGGGTCGCAAAGAGCAACTAACATGCTGAGCAACTAACATTTTCACTTTCAGCCTAACCAAAGATCTATTGTCAACCATATTCTTTTGCCCCTATGAATAACCCACAGGTTTCGAGCTCCTCTTCATGAATAATGTAATATAAAAGCCAAACACTTTCATGTCAATGTATGACAAAAACCACTACAATAAAAAAAATTTAAAAATAAACAAAAGAAAAAGAAAAAAAAAAAAAAAGCCAAACACTGACACTAAGGACAACTTGTCTTCTTTAATTTCCCTAATATTAGACAACATCTAAGCCGAAGAAACTCAAACAAAGGAAAAGGAATGATATCACCAAAAAGATATGAGAAGCACCAAAACCTAGGCATACAAACATCATACTTTTCATCCATGAACCAATTCCCTATGTCTCACAGTCATGTATCGATAGAACCACAAGTCCGATGAGAGAAATTATCACTGGCTCTGGAGGAGCTATGACCACAGTCCTTCCATCCAGCTGTGAACAATTCAGCCAGGTGAGGCTGCACAGGGTGACACCCAAATGAAGTGAACTGCCATTGAACCTGGAAGATGGGCTCCCTACTCGATGTTTTAAAGACACACTCACCTTATATAAAAACAGGAAAGGGCAGACTGCCCACAGGACTCTCAGTGACTGATAGCCAGATTCATGTTCCTCAATCCCAGTCACCACAACCCTTAGGCAGCTTAAGTAGGGTAATACCACCCAACCTGAAGATTACTAATTCCCTTCCTTAGCTCAAAGGAAGCTTGGAAACATACCTGGGGGAGGGGTTTGCTGATAGCCTGGTACTGGGCCATTGTAGGCTCCATAGGGAGTGGGGGCGGCTGTGGACGCTGGTTGGCCACCATAGCTGGATTGATGATACCCTGGGTAGACGGGCTGGGGCTGCCCAAATGGCGGCACAGGTGGAGCTGACTGGTTAACGTTCATTATGAGAGCATCCCCGACCTGGTCTCACCTATTAGATGAGAGAGAAGACAGAAATTAGTCAAAATCAACTTTCTAAAGTGAGAGCACTATTCACGGTAGGAAGCAGAGCTAGAAAAGGACTGACCTTATCAGGCAGTGATCAGCCTAATCATTCCCACACTATTACAGTATCTTTGTAATTTTCTTCCCCAGACAGTAGACAGACTGCCTCCTCAAAGTAAGGATTTTGTTACTCTGAACAAACTCTTGGCTTTGTCACCGCCAAGAGGGTATAAATTTCAACTTCAGATAGGCCCAGTAGAATGGAGCAGCAGCCTCCATTCCCTAGTGGTATGATTTCTAGTGTCTAGTCATACAAGGAGTCCTGCCACTGATGAACTATTGTGATATTACAACTAAATGAAACAATGTTCCTACTTTCTGTTCATTCACTCTAGCATCCATTCATTACACAAGACTGAATACCCTCCAGTGTGCCAGTCATTTTTAATCATTCAAACTGCATGTCTAAAACAGATCAACTAAATCCCCTCCCCCTCAAAAGACAAATTTTAGAGTGACTGTTTAGAAAAATGACATTCTTAGGCTAAACTACAGTAAATCAAGTGCTTACTCCATCCTCAGTTTTCCCACCAAAAGAGTGTATGGACCTTAGTACTGAAGCATTAAAATCACTAAATGTAAAGGACAGCTGAAAACTAGCAAGGTACCAGATTAGAACTGAGTGCAAGTTTGGCACAAAAACCTCACACAATAACCCAGGGAAACAGTTCAAAGATCAATAGCAAAGTTAGATTTCATGGGAAAAGATCATTCACCTTATCCTTCAAGCAGAGCGACTGTAATTATTCCAAATCTCACGCACTTCTCCAACACTGTTTCTGCTCTCCTTATAGGCTTGTCATGAATCTAGGCCACATCCAAAATTATTACAATCTTGCCCAACAACAGAGAAATGAATTGGAGGGTCTTTCCAGGATCCTTCCAAGAACAGGACTATCTGATCACATCTACTCTACACAACCTGATCATTCCAACTATCCTACAGAAGAAGGAACCCAGGAAGCAAAAGAGCTCATAGCTGCTGCAGTGGAACAACGGGCCTCTCGCCTGTGCTAGGAAGGGCCATCTTAACTACAGAAAAGCTGAGCTGCTCTTGCACTAGAACTTTTTAAGTTCAAAGCTATATCAGGAGCTATTCTTCCAAATCCTGAACCTTGCACAGGTCACAACATTAAGCTTGACGGATGTCCCCCTCCCTTTTATTTTCCTGAAGTCGGTGTGGGGGTGGGGATGGGAAGAAAGGAGAAAAGAGTTCCCTCAAACACACACAAGAGTTTGGAATCAGGCTAAAGTTTCGACTCCACTCTGCGTGAACAGTCAAGGGTGACAACCCAGGGGGCGGGGCAAGCTTCCCTAGAACTCCGAAAGTAGTCGAGCTGTGGAGGCTGGGAGGGCCGGGGATCAAGACCAAGAAACCAAGCCAGCTTCTCGGGCCACGATGAGAGGACTGTTGCTCTAAGTAGAAGATCGAGCGTCTTGCGCCCTTCAACAGGCTCCGGACAGGAAGCGGGAGCCGGAATCTGGGCCAGGAGGAAAGAAGGGAGGGTCTAGGACTGATTCTGGATTGTGGACGCATGAGGTGAGGGTCTCTCCCCGGGCTCCGCCCCCGAACCTATCTCTTCCTTCGCAAACAGGACGCCGACCTGGCCAGTGATACCCCGGCATCTCCTCTGCTTTCCTACCCACCAATCTCCCGAAGCCACTCCTCACCCGGCTCCAGATCCAGGTTCGACTTCGTTCCTAACGTCAAGGCTCCCAGGCTCCACTTCCGGTTCCGAGGGGGCCGGAGCGTCGCCCCCGGAAGTTCCACCCCCACGCTCCAAGGCCACTCCTTCTGCCACGTCTGCAGTAGGCACGCGCTGAGGAACAAGTATTCCGCGCATGCGCTAGTTTCTTTTCTATGATGGCCGTCTGCGGGGGATTCTGTGGATTTTTATGTATTTCCTTTATTTTTCTTTTCCGAGACGTCGTGGTAACTTTATGCTCCCACCCCAAACCGAGATGCGATTGAACTATCTTTAGTAAACTCTCCTTCCAATGACATATTAGACAAAGTCTTGTAGCGACTTCCTGCTGACCCCTGGCCCCTTTGATTTCCGTCTTGGAGGTTCTCTCAACCCATGACCTTTGCCGGTCGTAAGACTTGCTGAACGGAAAGTATAATGTTTTTTGGTTTGGGGATTTAAAAAAATTATGATTATTAATAGTATACTTTTTGTACATTTTCTTACTCTGGCCGGGCCATGTGGCTGGCGGAATGTTAGTTCCCTGACTAGGCATCCAATCTCGTGCCCTTGGCTGTGAAAATTCAAGAGTTCTAATCACTGAACCCCCAGGGAATTGCTGCAGCACTTAGAATTTAAAGGGGAGCAGTTTGCTTTTAGGCAGCATGTGTTCGAGTTCTGTCCCTGCAGTTCCCTAACTTGGGTAATTTAATCTCGGCCTCAGTTTCTTTCATTTGTAGAATGGAGAAAACAGGAATGTCATTGTAATAACTTGTTGAGAGGATGGAATTAAGTCACACAGATTGCCTGGCACCATAGTAAGTGCTTAGTAAAGGGAAGCCCTTATTAACCTTTTTTTTCATTATTAGTTAACCACTTTTATATAGCGCCTTGGTTTAGATGCAGAGGTCTGCTAGAGGCTGATTATTTGTTCCAATGCCCCCAGCCTATAGGAAGAGCTACAGTTCGTGAAATGATTATTATTACCCATTTAATGAATAACAGTAATTGTAGATAATATTTGTGGGAGTTTTAAAAATATACATAACTACATTTAATCCTTTCAATAATCCTTTCATTTCATAATTATTTTTTAAGCATTATTGTGTACCAAGCCATGTTCTTGGTTCTGGGAATACAGTAGTGAAGAAGCAAAAGCTTTTGGCCAATTTAAACTGTATCGTTTTGTAATTATATACACATGATAAAGCTATAAAGAAAAAGTGAGAATTCTCTGGCGGTCCAGCGGTTAGGATACGCTCTTTCACAAATTTCAGTCTGTTGTTTACCTCTGGGGAAGGAAAAAGTATAATTTGGAGGAACATAATGGAGCATCAATAATATTAAGTGTTCTGTTTCTTAACATTCACATGGATATTTATTATTATTTTAAAATAGTGCATATGTATTATGTACAATTCATTTCAGAATAAAATTTTTTAATAAGGAAGAAAAGAAATGAGGGAAAAGAGCACTGGTGGAATGGAAGCATTTAAAAGGGAAAAAAATGTTCAATTAAGAGTTTTATGACCAATGGGGTAGAAAAGTTCTTGCTATCATATGTTCGTTAATCTTTCATTTAAAAGGGGAAAAAAATTATTAAATGAAGACTTTTATGACCAATATGGAGGGGGGAGTTCTTGCTCTCATATTGTGCACAGTAAATATTAGTTATTCTGAGGTACAAAATGGTTCATTCATTTTAAAAAATTGCACTTTTAGTCTTTGCTGGAAGCTGTATTAGTCATTGAGCATATTTTAGAAAACAGCAAGATTTTTCCTGTCCTCGGGAGTTTATAGTGGAGTCAGATCACAGATGGTTTCTCAGTCTGTGATCCTGGTGTCAGCAGTGTCAGTTTCACCTGGGAACCTGTTAGAAACACAAATTTCAGGCCCATACTGAATCAGAAGGCATACTGAATCAGAAATTCTGCAAGTGGGGCCCAGCAAGCCTTGACCCTCTAGATAATTCCATTGCACACTAACATTTAAGACCCACTAGTCTGGATTAGTAATTTGTGAAATTTAGCTAACATTTGTTGAGCAATTGCCACATTATTTATCCCACTGAACCCATGGGTTCATTAACCTGGCATTTGGTTCATCCCACAGCACTAGTTGTTTACCAGCGCCACTGTCTACCAAAAGTGGCCCACTAGGCACTCGCATTCCATGCCAGCGAGCCGGGCTTCTTACGCATTTAAAGCTCGAGAATAGGTTGAGATCGTTTCGGCTCCAAGACCTCTAATCATTTGCTTTACCGGATAAAACTGTGTGGTTTGTGCAAGAGCCCCAGCTATCCTAAGGGAAACTTCAGAGGAAGCCAGCTACTAGATGGTTCAATTAGGCTTTCCCACTTATACCCAGGTCGGAAGACTGATTTGCACGTCAGGACCACTACAGACTTCCACCAGAGTTTCCTCTGGCTTCGCCCTTCCCAGGCATAGTTTACCATCTTTCTGGTCCTAACATGTGTGCTCATGCATAGGAAAGTAGGTATCCTCTGTCTTGCTTAATGCACTCCTAGTAAGTAGTAGAGTTTAAATTCATAGTTTCTCTTTTTAAAATTAATTTTATTTGGCTATGCCAGGTCTTCGTTGTGGTATGCGGGATCTTTAGCTGTGGCATGTGGGACCTAGTTCCCTGAGCAGGGATCGAAGCGGGCACCCTGCCTTAGGAGCAGAGAGTCATACCCACTGGACCACCAGGGAAGTCCTAAACTCAGTTTTTTGAGAATACAGACTGATATGTTGCATTTTATTGGTTTCTGTATCCCTTCTCTGGTTCTCAGTCTTGGCTGCACATTAGAATCACCTGCAGTGCTTTTAAAACTGGCCAGTAAAATTAGAATCCCTAAGGTTGAGGAGCCTGACTGTGTGTATGTGTGTGTGTGTATGATATATATATAATATGTAAAATGCCATTAAACATCATCTAATCCTATACACAGTTCTATTTTAAGAAACCAGTAGCTTTAAAAGTTTTCCAGGTGATTCCAATGTGCAGAGGTAATTGAAAGCCACTGGTATGGCACAGTGGCTTACATGTATTACTAGCTGCTGCTGCTAAGTCGCTTCAGTTGTGTCCAACTCTGTGTGACCCCATAGATGGCAGCCCACCAGGCTCCCCCATCCCTGGGATTCTCCAGGCAGGAACACTGGAGTGGGTTGCCATTTCCTTCTCCAATGCATGAAAGTGAAAAGTGAAAGTGAAGTCGCTCAGTCGTGTCCGACTCTTCACGACCCCATGGACCGCAGCCTGCCAGGCTCCTCCATCCATGGGATTTTCCAGGCAAGAGTATTGGAGTGGGGTGCCATTGCCTTCTCCCATTATTAGCTAGTAATCAATAAATGTTTGAATAGTGAATGAATGGATATTTAGGTACTCTTTACTGATGAGGTCAAGTGACTGCCCAAGGTCACGCAGCTAAGAAATAATAAGAACCCAAGTCCAATTCTGACTCTAAATTCCAAGAGCTTTCCATGACTACATCATACACCAAGGCAAACAGCATTTAGCAGGCTAGCAGAGCACCTATTCCAGGAAACTCTGTAGCTTTTAATAATTACAGCACCATAATATTAATATAGGGATATTAATGTAATGGAAACCTAAAAATAAGTAAATATTTTATTATTAACATGGGTTGGCATGTTTAGGCACAGCTACCTATACCCACCTTTCCATGACCAACTATGTATTGTAAAAGGTAATTTATTTCAGCAAACATTGAGCACCTGTTACATCAGTCATTGCTCTGTGGGCTATTGATTGGCTGTTGCACACAGTCCTTGCCTTCAAGATTCTCACAATCTAGGAGGGAGACAGGCGTATAAACAAACTAATATTGTCTGAAAACTACAATAACAGACATAAACAAGCTACATATTTTGCCCAGAGGAAGGAAGGATTAATTCTATAGGTAGGGAGTTGGGAGACAGTCAGGAAAAACTTTATGAAACAGGCAGTGCTTCAACTGGAGCGGGCTCGTCAGAATTTCTCTACATTGTACCCAGTACTGCAAGTGGGATATGGATATCCACTTTGATTAATTGGTTAATTCATACAGCAAAGGGGCACCCTTTTTCTGGAGAGCTTGCCAACCTGTGGGACAAACCCAGCCATTCCTTGCTTGGGAATTGAGGCCCCTGCTGCTGCCATTTTGGAATCAGCTTTGGAGGAAAGCAGCTGGGATTAGTCCGTGACCCCATGAGGGAAGGCACCATCCCTGAAAGGATGTACATTAGTGATAGAGCCCACAGAGCTAGTACTCTGAGTCCTGAATAAAAAGTCCATGAAGAATGGGGAACGGGGAGGGCAGAAATTTTCACTATAATTAGCTCTGGGAGTAACACAGCTGGGGGAGGAAGGGGAGTACAGCCGGTAACTATTTTGAGCGCAGCTCCGATTGACAGGACACGTGTGTGGACTGTACTGATCTCGGGGCCAGGCTGCCTGCCTGTGGTGTGGGGGGGAAGGCCTAGGGCAGCAGAAGCAGGACAGCCAGACAGGCCGGACGGGGTACCAGCGCCTCGACTTCTCTCCTTGGGACGCTGTCCAAACTCCGAGGGCCATAGGCCAAGCTGAGCGATGGGTGCTGAGGAGGAGGTGCTGGTCACACTGTCAGGGGGAGCCCCCTGGGGCTTCCGACTTCAGGGTGGGGCCGAGCAGAGGAAACCTTTACAGGTGTCCAAGGTAAGGGAGCCTATATTGAGGTTTCAGGGAAAGGAGAACCCAAGGGAACTTGGGAAAAGTCATGTGATGGCCTGTAGGGGAGAAGTGGGAGGCTGTGCAGAAGTGGAGTGGGAGTGGGCAGGTGGTCGAGGAAGCATGCTCAAATCTGATGGGGTGGTGGAAGTAGCATCTGAGCAGTGGCTTCTTGTGGGGGGCTATAGAAAAGGGAATCCCTGGTTTCTGGGAGCAGAGAAAAAGAAAGACTGGCTCGGTTCCCTGTGGCACCATAGGAGCTGAGGCCCAGGGCTGGTCCTCCAATCCCCTGGACCTGTACTTCTCTACTCTATAAACTCCAGGAATGTAGGGGAGGTTCTCATTTCTAACTAAATTGGTGTGTGATGAACTGAAGCTGTCTCATCCAGCTCAGCCCAGCCCTGCCCCTGCCTTCAGTCCTCTTTCCTACGCCAGATCCCTTCTCTCACTAGGCAAGACTTTTTTTAGGTACTAGGAGGGTTATGGCAAGATCTGACCTGTCAGATGAAGTTGTTACCATTTTGGTTTCATAGCACAAGCTTATTTTTCTCAACTGTAAAATGTAGATAATAATAGTACCTACTCCATGGATACTAAGTTCTGAAGGATGAAATTCAGTGAAACATGTTGAGTGCTTGGCACTGTGCCTAACATTTAGTAAGCACTCAGTAAATGATAGCCACTACTACTATTATTACTTTAACATATGTGTGTGTGTGCGCACACGACACGCACACACACACAATCATAATCTCAGAATCTGCTGGACTCCCTCCAGTCTGGAATACTGTTCAAAAATCTTGACTGTATAGATAATGGTGCCTAGGATTCCAAGGACTAGAAGAGAAAGAATATTGGCTAGTATAGCTATTTCCTTTGGAGGAAAGCCTTGAGGGGATAACCACCATTTCCAGTACATCTCTCCCAGGCATTTTTCCCCAAGCCTCTTTCATTTAGCGATTACCCTACCTCCCTTCATATGATGTAATTTTCTCCAGTTAGCACCTTCTTCCCTTTAGATTGACCCCCTTAACTGTCACCCCTTGCCCTGCCCCATCCTTTCTTACCCTCTAAAGTACTGGTTAGCACAAAAAGTTCGTTTGGGTTTTTCAGTATTATCTTATGAAAAAACCTGAACAAACTTTTTGGCTAACCCAATAAAATCCCCTCCACATATGGTTCCTTCCTGTCCTAACTCCTTTCATTCTATTCCCCCTTGGAGCCCTCCCTCACCTACAGTCTCTCCTCCAACACCTTCTCAGATCCGAAGACGGAGCCAGGCGGGCAGAGCAGGACTCCGAGAGAGGGATCAGCTTTTGGCCATCAATGGGGTCTCCTGCACCAGCCTCTCTCATGCCAGTGCTATGAGCCTTATCGATGCCTCAGGGAATCAGCTTGTTCTCACCGTGCGGCGGTATGGATCCCTCCACCCCAGCTTATCCCCAGCCTCCTAGTCCAGGGCTTCCGTTGCCTGTCTCAGCTCTATGTCTCACTGACCTGACTTCAGCTACTAACAAGTACCTATTTCTGCTTGTGTATTTTGCTGGAGCATGGATGTTTGTGTATGCCTCCCAGAGCACTTGAATGTGGGTATGTGGGCCTGTTTTAGACCCCTTGCCTGTCTCTTCATCATCACATTGCTCTTTAAGCCCATTTCCACTCAAAGCCTGCCAAGCAGATTTGCCTCCCAGTTCATCTTCAAATCTCTACTCTATCCAGCCCATCCATTTCACCCAAATGCCAGTCCCCTCTCTCCCCATACAGCCTTCTCCCATCTTCTCCAGATCTCTCTAGCTATCAGTCATCCAGCTCATTTCTCAAGTTCTGTCATCTTTCCCATCCAGGGTAGAGGACGAGGGACCTGTGCGATCTCCGTCCCCGGGTGAGATGCTTCAGGCACTGTCACCCTTGTCTCCACTGAGTCCTGAGCCCCCAGGAGCTCCAGTTTCCCAGCCTCTCCAGCCCGGGAGCCTTCTCTCTCCCCCTGACAGTGAGGCTTACTATGGAGAGACAGACAGTGATGCTGACGGCCCAGCCACCCAGGAAAAGCCCCGCCGACCCCGCCGCCGAGGCCCCGCAAGGCCCACCCCTCCAGGAGCCCCACCGGATGAGGTCTACCTGTCTGACAGCCCTGCAGAGCCGGCACCTGCTGCCCTTGGCCCTCCCAGCCAGGGTGACAGTCGTGTGAGCTCCCCATCTTGGGAGGATGGGACAACTCTTCAGCCACCCCCCGCCGAGGCCCTGCTGTTGCCCCATGGCCCCCTCCGGCCTGGCCCTCATCTCATCCCTATGGTGGGGCCGGTTCCCCACCCAGTGGCAGAAGATCTTACCACCACCTATACCCAGAAGGCCAAACAAGCCAGTGAGTGCATGAACTCTTTTTCATTATTCAGGATACTTCAGTTTGAGTCCTAAATCTAACCCCCCTTAACCATACATTCTATCAATATCTACCTTATGCTTCCCTTGAATACAGTCTTGGGAATAGGTGGAGAAAAAGAGGGGAAAATAATTAGTCTCACGATCCCCATTATTCTTGCCATTTGAACCAGTGGGATAAAAAGATACAGGGGGTTTCTTCAGCCTAACCCAGGAATGGCCTGGGTAGGGAGCTAGAAAGGGACATGAACTGATGAAGAGTCTGCCTGTTGCTGCTGTGACATTGCTAGATGGCGATGGGGGAGGGGAGCACAGACATGGGGCAGGGAATTTAGAAGCAGGACAGGGACATGGGGACTCTTCAGTGTTACTGCAGGCATAACATCAGAGCTGCCTTTGGCACTGCTAGTTCCATGAAGATTCCTGGGGACTGGGAGGCTATGGAATAGTCATGAGATCCCTAGGAAGTAGTGGAGAGAGAGATCTTTGGCTTCTTATCTCAAGCGATAATGTAGGCCTCCTGGGCAGAAAAAGCCTATTCCACTTATCTCAGGCTCTTTACTATTTTTGATGTGAGCTACAGTACAAGGTTTAAGAGTGAAGTTTCTCCCTGCCTTATGCCTCCCATAACACTCCTTTCTCGTCACCTTGGAAATCTCAGGATTACCCCTCTAGTTCTCATCTCTTGCTCCTCTCCCCCACCACTCTGATTCCTGATCCATAGAATTTTGTGCCTCTGAGTCTGGAATAGAGGCTAAGGACGTGACAGTTCACCCTCTGACATTCCTGAGAGTGTCCCATGTCCCACAAAGAAATTCCAGATATACACTTAGGGTCTCATACTTATCCCTAGTTCTCATTTTAGCACCGTCTCCCTTCCCCATTATGCTGGATGAGACTGTAGTTAGTGGCTCAGGGATATTTTTAGCCAAGCAGACCTCATTGTTCAGTGCACTGGGGTTAGGGGGGGAGGGGTAGGCAGGTGCCCATGTCCATCACACCGGGGCTTGTGGGGCAGCTGAGAGGAGGGAAGGGGCCAGGCTCCAAAAATAGCACAGTGAGCTCATTCAGCTGTCAGCTCTGGGGCCAAGACAAAGGGGCTTTAAAAGGCTTGGGGGGTGGCTCAAGCTGGTCCTGCTCCAGCCAACACTGCCTTTCTCGGCATGGAGACTTTTGAGCCCATCAACCAAGAGCCCCTCAGCCAAGCCAGCTGCGACAAAGCCCTAAACCCAGTTCCTGAGCTCCAGGACTCGTTCTATGCAGGTACTACCCTCCCATAGCCAAGAGAGTTCTGGAATCTAGAATGAAAGGGACTATATCAACAGTATAGGAAGGGAGGTCTTTGGGAAAGATCTTACTCTCTTACCCCCTTCTCCTTTTTGCCTTCCTAGTCCTTCTTTTCTCAGGAGTTTCACTGCCCTTTTCTCAGAATGGGCTAATGCTATGGCCACATGTCACAGGGGTTTGTGACAACATGAGCTATGGAAAACTCATGGAGAGAGGGTGTGTGTGAGAGAGAGAAGTGTGAGTACTCTATGAATGTATGGAAGCATGTGTGTAGGCGTCTCTGGGGGAAGATACGAGTGAACAAGACATTTGTGTGCAGCTAGTATCAAGAAAACTTTGATAGTAATGATTACTCATAGTGGACCTTAGGTTAAATGCTAAATTGACCTACATTATCTCACTGAACCCTCATAGCAACTCTGTGAGGTAGCCGTTATCTTCATTTACAGATGAGGAAACTGAACTTCATTGAGATGAAGTAACTCTCCCAGGAAACAAAATCTGAACTAAGCTATGAGTCCAGCGCCTATCTCTAGTACTCTTGTGTGGTACAAATGTTGGAATGGGCGGAATGACAGCCCAAATTAGAAAGGAGCTTGATATCTTGAGTGGAAAGTAGGTGGAATTTCAAGAATTTTTCAGGAGGAACTGGGGATCACGGATTAGAGAGTAACTGTGTCCAAGTCAGGGTCCTAGCAGCAGGCAGCCTCTCCGTTTCCTGGCCCCACCTCCCAGGCCCCACATGGCCTGGGAGGCCCTGCCCTGGCTCCCCTTCGCACACAATCCTTTTGTGCCTGCCTGGTGGTGGTGCCTGAGCACCCCACCTAGAAGATTCGAAATATAGGGGGCAGCTTTGACTCTAAAAGAAGCCTACCCCACTCCCACCCTCAGCTTGGGGGAAAGGAGACTGTATCAACTGGTGATCTTGAGATATCCTAAAGATTTGGAAGCTCGCCTTGGAGAGCAGCACTCTGGCTTTTCGTGCATCTCGGATCTGAGGCCATCCCTGGCTGTGAGTAGCAGGGGTTTAAGGCACAGAGGAGTGCCTTGGAGGTTAGAAGGCACGAAATTTTGTCCCAACTGTTAGTGACAGTGTCTCTGCTAGGGGAATTCTGGGAAGAAGAGCTACCTGGGCTACGCGTGTATGTTTTTGTGTGGACACATGGATTTACACATGTGTCTATTAACTGGGGTGTATATAAGCTAGAGTATATGGGAATGAGGGAGAAAAATACATCTGAGAACATAAGCTCATAGGTGCCTTTCCCTAGAGCCATATTCTTGTTGAAATGATGTGTGGTGGGAGTTATTTCTGTGAATGTACATGTGGCTGTATATGTAGATGTGGCTTACATGATGGTAGTGGAATTATGAATGAAGATTCCCACTGCTAAGGATCCTTTTATCCTTAGTATAGGGTAAGGGGTAGGAAGAGGGGAAGTCCCAAATTTTCCGAGAAGCCCTCTAACGTGGTCTGTGGTGGGAGAAGTGTCCCTTCTCTTCTTACCCTGGGACCTGCTTCATGTCCTTGCCTGCCATGCAAAATGACGACCCCCGCCCCCATCTCTCACCCTCACATTGCCAACCAGAAATGGAGGGGAGAGGGGGGACAAGTGCGTGGCGTGAATAAAAGTGATTTCCAGAAAGACAAGAGCAGAGTAGAGGAGAGCTGTGTGGTCAGTGGTGTCAGGGCAGCCAACTAGGCTCTGCCTTCCCTTTCATTGTCCTTGGTTTCACCTTTCACCTCCACTCTGCCCCCAAGTCAGAGGACTTTGCCACAGGCAGGAGAGCCCTTGTGGGTTAGGCCAGTGAAAAGGCCAGAGGTAGAGGCCTAAGGGAACTGGGAGGAGGGGAGAGCCTTGGGGCTCACAGATGCATACTGACCACCCCCCTTCTCCTCTCCTCAGAGCTACAAAGGGCAGAGAGCCTCCAAGAGAGGAGTGTGAAGGAGGCCAAGACCAAATGCCGGACAATTGCATCCCTGCTCACCGCAGCCCCCAACCCCCACTCCAAGGGGGTACTGATGTTTAAGAAACGTCGGCAGAGAGCCAAGAAGTACACCCTAGTGAGCTTTGGGGCTGCCGCGGGGACCGGCGCTGAGGAGGAGGACGGCTTGCCTCCAACTAGTGAGTCCGAGCTGGACGAAGAGGCTTTCTCCGACGCCCGCAGCCTCACCAACCAGTCCGACTGGGACAGCCCCTACCTGGACATGGAGCTAGCCAGGCCGAGCTCAGGCACAGCAGAGGGCCAGGGGCTGGGAGGGCAGCTGAGTGAGGCCTCCGGGCGAGGGGCCCAACTCTTTGAACAGCAGCGCCAGCGCACAGCCTCCATCACCCAGCAGCTGGCCCAGGAAGGTCCAGCGGCCACGCTCAACGGGCAGGGCCTGCAGTCTCCACCTCGGCCACAAAGCGCTCCGCCAGAGGCGGCTCTGCTCCCATCCAGCCCTTCGCCAGCCCCTGTAGCCAGCCCCAGACCTTTCCTCCCTGGCTGTGGAACCTCTACCTCAGCTCCAAGCATCTTTAACCGTTCAGCTAGGCCCTTTACTCCCGGCTTACAAGGGCAGCGGTCAGGTACCACCTCGGTTATTTTCCGGCCCCTAGCTCCCAAGAGGGCAAATGAGAGCCTGGGAGGCCTCAGCTCCGCCCCACCGCCTTTCCTGTCTCCTCCGCAGGGTCCCACTCCTGTGCCTAGCTTCACTTCAGGGGTTCCCAGCCACGTGCCAGTCCCCGCTTCCCCCAGCATCCCACGCCCCTCCGGCCCCGTGACGGCCACCAGCTCCCTATACATCCCAGCCCCTAATCGTCCTGTTACACCAGGCGGGGCCCCAGAGCCCCCCGCCCCCGCTAGCGGAGCTGCCATGACCTCCACCGCTTCTATCTTCCTGTCGTCGCCTCTGCGACCTGCTGCGCGCCCAGAAGCGCCTGCCCCTAGCTCCGCGGCCCCTGAGCCCCCCAGCGCTCGGGAGCAACGCATCTCCGTGCCAGCTGCTCGCACGGGCATCCTCCAGGAGGCCCGGCGTCGGGGAACCAGAAGGCAGATGTTCCGGTCGGGAAATGAGGAGACGAAGAACTCGCCCAACCCCGAGCTGCTATCGTTGGTGCAAAACCTGGATGAAAAACCCCGGGCTGGGGGCGCGGAATCTGGTCCAGAGGAGGATGCTCTGAGCCTCGGGGCTGAAGCCTGCAACTTCATGCAGCCACCAGGGGGCAGGAGTTACAAGACGTTGCCTCACGTGACAGCTAAAACCCCGCCTCCAATGGCCCCCAAGACCCCACCTCCTACGACTCCTAAGACTCCACCCCCAGTGGCTCCTAAACCCCCTTCTCGAGGGTTCCTCGATGGGTTAGTGAATGGGGCGGCCTCTTCGGCTGGAATCCCTGAAACACCAAGGCTTCAGGGGAGGGGAGGGGAGCTGTTTGCCAAACGTCAGAGCCGAGCGGACAGGTATGTGGTGGAAGCTCCACCTGGTCCTGGCCTTGGCCCTCGGCCCAGAAGCCCTTCTCCTACCCCCTCACTGCCCTCTTCCTGGAAATATTCACCCAATATACGTGCCCCACCTCCTATTGCTTACAACCCACTGCTCTCACCCTTTTTCCCTCAAGCTGCCCGAACTCTCCCTAGTAAGACCCAATCCCAAGGGCCTCGGGCAGCCCCTAAGCAGGGCATTAAGGCTCTGGATTTCATGCGCCACCAGCCCTACCAACTTAAAACTGCCATGTTCTGTTTTGATGAGGTTCCCCCGACTCCTGGACCCACCTCCTCAGGGCCTCCCAAAACTGCCAGAGTCCAGGAGATCCGCCGATTTTCAACTCCAGCGCCGCAGCCCACTGCGGAACCCCTGGCCCCCACTGTGCTCGCCCCCAGAGCAGCCACTACATTGGATGAGCCCATCTGGAGGACAGAGCTGGCCTCAGCCCCGGTCCTTAGCCCACCCCCTCCTCCAGAGTCTCCCAGGGGTCTTGGGACCTCCCCCAGCTCCTGTGGCTTCCAAGTAGCCAGACCCCGGTTCTCAGCTACCAGAACAGGGTTGCAGGCTCATGTTTGGAGGCCTGGGGCGGGCCACCACTGAACGGGGCACAGCTCCCAGGACCAAGGGGAGGTGGAACATTCAGTTCCTAAAATTGCTTCTCCTTCCCAACTCTATCCCTGCCCGCCCTCCCCGCCCCCCACCCCCAGCAGGCTAAATTCTCCCCCTGCCAGAGAGTTTTGGAGTTGGTGTCCTCTTCCCCAGTTTCCTCCTGGCTCCCAACCTCCCTGCTGCTTTCCAACCTACTATCTCTGCTTTGGTGTCTGTGCTTCTCTGTAGTTCCTTGCCTGGATCTCTGTCTTTAGGTCTCTTCACCTACACTCCTCTGCTGGTCTCTGTTTCTCTACATTTGTGCCTTTTTCTGTGGGCCTTGTTTTAACATTCAATGAGAAACACACAGGGAAGTTACTACTAAGACCTCAGGCCAGAAGCTCACCACCAGACAGGCAGCAAAGGGACTGTACTGACCCCTATTTGCATTAAGTTACTCGCTGTTCCTCACTCTTCTTTCCCAGCTTGGCTGGTATATTCCTAGGCATGTGTATGTCTGTGAATGTGTCTGTGTATGTGCAAGTGTGTGCATGAACACAGATGTGCTCTTCTGTCTGAGGCAAGAATAAGAGAAGAGGTCTAAATAAAGACCCCATCTGGGTCTCACCTTTGCTCTGATAAAGGAAGAGTCAGCTGTCCTCACATAGAATGTCTGGAGGGGAGAAAGAGATTGACTAGAGTTAAAGATCATCATCTGCAGCAAATGTAGAGCATCTTGTGAAATTCACAGGGTGTGAGGAGACACGAAGGACCAGGGCAGCTTGTATGAGTTGAGTTACATCAGTTAGACCAGGAATAGAACTAAGAATTCTGTTCCTCAGGATTTCAGAAAGCTAACAACTTAAGAGGCCCATACTGAGCAACAAAGCATCCAGGAAATGAAAGAAAGAAAATGTCCTCAGAGAATGACCAAATCATTGGCTTCATGGCCTCATGAACTTAAGACAGAAAGGAAGGGGAAAAGAACCTTAATGTGGCAAATAAGGTAGAAGCCATAAGTAGGACAGAAATGAATGAAATTGATTGAGCCTTAGAGAGGAGCATGGTTAGGGTGAGTGCAGTGTTGGTGGAGTTAAATTGGATAATAAGAAACCAGTCACATACAAAAGGGGGACTGGGAGAAAATATGAGGAAGAAGTATGTATATGTTAGAGAGAAGGGGGATGATGGTAGAGGGATGCGAGAACTTGTGCTGAGTGTTGAAAAAACGTATATCTGTGTTCTTGCTGTGAATCTGTTCCTCTATCTTCTGCAGCTTGTCATAACTACCTGGGAAAGGGTAAGGAAACACCCAGAGCCAAAACCTCGTTTTAGTTCTACCCCATCTCTCAAATTGTAGCCCTTATTCCTTTCCAGCTTGAGGTCCTGATCTCTGTCCTAGAGAGATACAGACTCCCCTCTCACCATGACCACCAGTCACTTTTGCTGCTTGACCTGTAAACTGATCATTTCCTTTGCATATTGAGTGTGAACCACAGTGCTTTGGTTTGTGCACAAGAATAAACTTATGCCCTATATCTTCTGTTGTCATCTTGTCTAGTTTCTTGCCTAAATCCTGGTCTCCCCTTCATCTTCTCTAATTCATTTTCCTGATCTCCCGATTCCTGATCTTTTTCTCAGCTCCTGCCCTCCAATTTTTTACTGTTGTGCCCTTCACCCCCATGCCACCCCCATGCCTTTTGCTCTTCTCTACCAATTCTGTCCTGCCCCCGTGTAGCCACCTCCATCCGGTTCCCTCTGTCCAGATTCTCCCCTTCTCCATCCCCTGCTCCATACTTCTCAGATGAGGCCTCAGCTCTCAGAACCAAGACAATTTGAAAAGGCCCTCCAACCCTTTTGCTATCAACATTTCCCAACTGCCTGGAGGAAATGAAGGGAAAGCAGTGGCTGAAGGTGAAGGTGGAGAGAGAGAAGGAAGAGGGAGAGAGAGAATGAATCAGCCTGGATTGAGACTAATAAAAGAGAAGGCACTGGCAAGCAGGCTAGACTAGACTCGAGGAGGGAAGTTCTATTACCCCAGTTTTACCAGCAGGGGGCAGATTTGTGCCAATAACCAGGCCTATGACCCTGATCCTGTCACAAGCAGCGTCTCAGAAAATTCCTCTGGAGGAGGGCCTGATGACCCACTTCAATACTCTTGCTGGGAAAATCCCACTGACAGAAGAGCCTGGAGGGGTACAGTGCATGGGGTTGCAAAGAGTCGCACACAACTGAAGGGACTGAGCGTGCACGCATGCTCACACACAGAATTACACAGGGAGGGCTCAGAAAGCCTGCAGTGCACATTCTGTCTTCATTCACATAGTAGTTTTAGGTACTCAATTATAGGACACCAAAATTTTGGGTGGGTTTTGTGGGTTTTGAGGGGAGGATGGTAATGATGAAAAAATCACCTTTTGCTACTTAACGTTTTTTTGTCTAACTGCTTTTTTGGGTTAGGAGAGAACAGAGAAGAAGGACAAAAGATGAGGTGTCTGGAGGCTAAACTGGTTTGGTCAGAGGCCAAGTAGAATGGAGCAGGGTGACCTTTTGGCCCCTAACCTGAACCTATAAAGTTCAGGATGGGAAAAGGACATGGTCAGGAAAAGTGGATAGCTCACAGAGAGACAAAATGATATTCTGGGAGCTACAGAAGCCACTTCCTAAGGCAGACACAGCTTGGTGGTGGATACAGCAGAGGTGAAGCATCTGGTTGCAAAACCTGAGCAGAAGATGTAGGAGGATCCAGGATGTTCTTGCAGCTATTGAGAAAGGGCTCAGGCAAATGACAGACTTCCCTCCAGGGGGCTCTCAAGCTTGTGCCCCAGCCCAGAGGCTTCTCTAGACCAGTGTGAATGGGATAGTCCAGATCCCATGGGGTGTGTGTTCCCTTCGAAGAAAATTCCAAGTAGGAACCTCAAAGAGTAAAGCCCTGGCAGGTCAGAAGCCTCCATGTCCTTCTCAGGAAGAAGGCTATCTATCCAGGGAAAAGTGACATCTGTCCTCTGAGCAGGCTGAGTTGAGCACCCCAACAGCAAATGGGGATAAAAATGAGGAAACTGGCTCAAGTTTTGCCCCACATCATCCCTGACAGCCTAAGCACTGGATTTGGTTAATTTGGTCCCTTATCCTGCTAAGATCTGGCCCTCCCAAGAGAAAGACCAGCTTATCCAGGAACTTTCAAAGGGCACTTACATTGTGAACAGAAATTCCCTTCTCCAGACATAGCTTCTTAAGCCTTCCCACCCCCAAAATGCATCCACATGTCCCTCCAGCCCCGGCCTACATTGGCTCTGCATGGCTCTCCAGACACGTTCTCCTGGTTCTCACTCTCCCACTCCGAATTCCTATCCACCACTTGCTGCCTGCTTCCTCTCTCCCTCTCAGTTTTCAGTTTCTCCCTGAGTGCTTCTCTGGATCTGAGCCTCTAGGTGCCAGGGAAGGGGAGTCCCTGGGCAGAGTGATCCTTGGCTCAGACAGCTTAGTGGGAGAATTCCAAAGGCTTTTCCTACCCTTCCTGAGCCTCTGGGCAAGGAGGGCGGGATCTTGGTTCCAGGGTCTCAGTACCCCCTGTGCCATTTGAGCTGCTTGTGCTCATCAACTCTATTAATAACCACGCTCCCTCCCCCACTGCCAGTGCTGCCCCCACGCCTGCCCAGCTCGGGTTCTCTAGTCACAGCAGCCCAGTCCTCCAGAGCTGCTGGACCCCAGGGAGAGCTGACCACCGCCTGAACAGCCGGTAAGTCTCCGGCTAATGGCCCAAGGGGCTGGAGCGCCTTCTGTTCACTGCTGTGTCTGTGTCTGTATCTGTAATAGTGACCCTTGATCCCAGGGGAGCTGCCCCCCTCCTCCATCTATACTCATTCCCCACTTGTCCAGTTCAGGGGAGCCACAGAGAGTTGGAGGGAGGACTCCAGAGGGTGGGGGGACTGGAGATGTTGGGGGAGGCACTGAAGAAATGGGCAAGGGGGTGGAGACCGAGAGGCTGGATGGAGAATAAGAACCTAGTTGGGGCTGAGAGGAGGACAGGGAAAGTCCATTTAGCAGTTCCTGGGCTCCAGCTGCAGCAGACCCCACTGAGCGAGTAGGATTGCAGGTGTGTTGTGAGATAGGACTCAGCAGAAGACAGCATTTTGCTGAGACCCATCTTCTGTGAAGGAGGGGCTGGAATTTCTATCTTTTTCCAGCTTGTCCCCATCTACTGCCAGGTCCTATGATTATGTTTCTGTCCTCCCTGAATTTCCTGCTGCTGCGATATTGCTGAATTGATATGCATCAAGGTTCAAATGTCCCCTGACCTCCCTCTGCACTCCACTTCTAGGGTCCAGTCAGGGCTGGGGGGTGGGGGGGGAGTGACTGAGAGAGCAGGAGCAGTGCTGTGACCTCCCAGGCCATGATCCAGCTGGCCCAAGGGAGGGGCAATAACCTCTTCATCCTATGGAGAATGTTTTTGGCTGGATCTCCTCAATGCTGGCAGAACATTTTTTCTGCTCCACCCCCACCTCCCCACCCCTGCCCTGGGGCTTGGGGAAAACTGAGAGACCAGAGCTTGGAATGACAGCCCCAAACTGAGAGCCCCATGCAAATAAAAACTTCATATCTTGCCAAACCAATGAAATCTGAATGCATTGCCCTACCTGTAATTTGTTTGTTTTATTCCCAACATACGTTGTGTTCCTAAACCCTGCACCATCTCTGTGTAAAACAGCTGAACAGAGAGGTTGGTAGAAGGTAGGAACAGGGGGTGCATCTATACTTTCTGCTCTGCTTCCTAAGAAGAGAAGACCTAAAGCAATGTGTTTTCACTTTTTTTGTGTGTGTGTTAGTCGCTCAGTCATGTCCAACTCTTCGCAACCCCATGGGGTGTTGCATGCCAGGCTCCTCCGTCCATGGTCCATGTGATTTTCCAGGCAAGAATACTGGAGTGGGTTGCTATTTCCTTCTCCAGGGGATCTTCCTGACCCAGGGATCAAACCCAGGTCTTCTGCATTGCAGGAAGATACTGTCTGGTCGGAAGGCTTTTTCTCTGAAAAATCTAATGAAATGTTTTTCCTGAAGTCCATAAGCAGTCCCTTACTGGAGACACTCACTCTAGACCCTGTGCATCCTTCAGCTTCCCCTTCCCACCCTGTCCAGGCTCCATCCACCTCCACAATGCCGCTCTCGGGGACCCCAGCCCCCAATAAGAAGAGGAAATCCAGCAAGCTGATCATGGAACTCACTGGAGGTATGGCATGTTCGCATCTACCTAGTATGGGACTTCTTAGTAAGAGTATCTCTGGCCCAAGAGTTCCAGAAATATCGTAAGGTTGTATATGTCTTAAGGTGAAGAGATAGGAAGAGACAAGAGGAATTTGGGGTGGTGGTGGGGTTTGCAGGGGTGGGGGGAGAAGAAAGAACAAGAAAGAATTCAACACTGACTACTCCCCCTTCCACCCTTTTCACCTTGTAATCTGAGACAGTAATATCCCTGCCAAGTTACCCAGCACAGGTCCAAGACAACAGGACCCACAGGTCAATGAGGTGTATTTGAGGAGAAAATATATATGATGCAGACTGGCACAGAGTAAGGTCTCAATAAGTGCTTAATTTCCTTACTTCTTTCCCCAGAACTAAGGAGCTTTGTCTGAGCACTTAAAATGGGAGATTCCTTGGGCATTTTTCCTGGGGGTAGACGAGCTCTCCTAATACCGAGAGGCTGTTTGCAGCCAGAGTTTATGAGAGGAAGAGAAGGGAAAGGAGTTGAGACAGGAGTCTATATTTAGAGGTGGCCTTTGGGCTTCCCCAATGTTCTCCACCTATGATGTTTCTTTACTCTTTTGCCTTGTACCCCATACCTCTGTTACGCCATGTACCCTCTCCACGCCACTTTAGTATTCCCTGTCTTCCCCTCTGCGCCCCATTTCCCATGCATTCTCTCCAACTCCAAACCCAGGAAATCAAAATCCCTCATAAACTAGACAGAATTTAACCAGACATCAGAGGCAGCATCTGCTTCCCTCAGTGGTGTCTACTGGGACACACATGCACGCCTAGTTGTGGATGGCAGCTGCATTTGGAACTGGAAAACCCCACTTTCCTCTTTGACTTGTCTCTGCCTCCCCATCTCCCTGAAAGGTGGACAAGAGAGCTCGGGCCTGAACCTGGGCAAGAAGATCAGTGTCCCAAGGGATGTGATGTTGGAGGAGCTGTCGCTGCTCACTAACCGGGGCTCCAAGATGTTCAAACTGAGGCAGTTGCGTGTGGAGAAGTTTATCTATGAAAACCACCCTGATGTCTTCTCTGACAGCTCAATGGTGAGTTCAGAACTCTACATTTCTCGAAGCCTAGTGCCTCTTCTGACAGCTTCTTGGCAGGCCCAGAGTTTCCAAAATATTATCAGCCTCCCCTCCCTGCAAATTTATAAACTCATTAACCCCTCTGATATAGCATGCCTCCGATAGATGCAGGGTGAATTACGACCCACCCCTGAAACTAAATTTGTATCTTAGAACTGGTGAAGCAGGGTGAGGAGTACCACACCTTCAGGGAGAAAATTCCTCCCCAGTATGGTTAAGCATTAAAGATAGGATTGCCAGATAAAACACAGGATGCCCAGTCCTATGTTTTAAATTTGAGATACACACTAAACAAGCTATAGAGATATGTTTATAGCACAGGAAATAAAGGCAGTATTTTATAATGCCTTTAAATGGTGTATAATCTATACATAAATCAACTCTACTTCAATTACAAAAATAAAGTTGAGATACACACAAATAGTTTTTTTGTAAAGTATATCTCACACAATATTTGGGATGTAACTTTCTTTTTTGATTGAAGACACTTAGGGAATTCCCTGGTGGTCCAGTAGTTAGGACTTGGTGCTTTCACTGCCAGGGGCCTGGATTCTCTTCTTGGTTGGGGAACTACGATCCCACAAGCCAAGCAGCACAGTCAAAAAAGAAACAAAAATTGAAGATATTTAAATTTGAGTTGCAGATACACAATAATTTTCTAGTATAAGTATGTCCCATGAAATATTTGGGACATAAAAATTAAATTAGAAAATACAGGATACCCAGTTAAATTTGAATTTCAGATACGTGATGGATACTTTCTTATATCTAAATATGTCCCATGTAATATGTAGGCATATTTGTACTAAAAAACTGTTGTTGTGTATCTGAAATTCAGATTTAACTGGTGTCCTGTGATTTTTGTGTATGTGCAAAAATCTGGCAACCCTAGAAAGAGGTAAGTGAATTTCTATAGCCTTCTCTTCTTGAGCCATTCGTATATTTAAAGTGTCAGTCTAAGGGCCAGAGATGCAGGGATTGAAACCATCCATTAAGGCCCAGCATCCCTTAGTCAGGGTCATTATCCAAAAAGAAGCAGGGATTGGAGAGGGCCAGGCACAAGATGTTACCGCTGAGGAGGGGATCTTCTCCGTTTCCTTTCTTCCCCCTCCATCTTTCCCAAGCAGCCAGGGGAGAGTGAAAATAGATGCCTACATGGGGCCAGGGGCAGGAGTGTCTGCCATTGGCCCATACGTATGAGCAGAACAAAATTGCTGAGCCGGCCATATCTAACTTTAGGAGGCCAGAAGCCCTCCTCCCTGCCTGTGTCTGGTTACACGGGGTGGAGCGTGGGGGTGTGCGTGGTGGGTGGCCAGGAGAGCCTCCTGAAGGAGTTGGCAGGGTTATTTTTAGGCTTCGGGGATGAGTCCAGTGTTGCCCTTTGGGCCACCCTTCCCCCTACCCACTACAGTTTCACCATCAGGAAGTCCTGGTTCGCTATGCACCAAAAGGGGGAAGGGAGAGGAAGAGACACACTTTTCATCGGTTAGACAAGATGGTGGGAGAGGGGCAGAGGTCTCCTTAGTTCCTCAAATTAAGGCTGGGCTCTCCATGCAGAACTCAGTCTCTCAAATTGTAGTGGAACAGAAGTCTCGATCCTTTTTGCATTGGTAAGGATGGGAAGGGGGAATTTGGACAGTAACTTGCCTCTATCCTAGATGTAATTCAAAGAACTGAGCCAAAGGCGTTGTATCCTTTTAAGGAGAGTTCAGTTTCTCTCGGTCAGGTTTATCCACTAACGTCTAGCGGATGGGGCTGTCTCAGGATTCGGCGTCTTTGAGTTGGCCATTGTCTCTGATCACTTCATACTTGCTATGGTATTCTCTGTGCCCACTGCTAACCTTCCCCTCGCTCTGTCCTTTCTTTTCAGGATCACTTCCAGAAGTTCATTCCCACAGTGGGGGGACAGCTGGGGACGGCCGGCCAGGGATTCTCCTATAGCAAGAGCAGTGCCGGAGGCCAGGCAGGGAGAAGTGGCTCTGCCGGCCAGTTTGGCTCTGACCAGCAACACCATCGTCAAGGCTCTGGGTCTGGCTCTGGCCCTGGATCTGGGGGTGCAGGTGGTCCTGGGGGCCATGCAGGCAGAGGAGGTGCTGCTGGCACAGCAGGGGTTGGCGAGACAGGAACAGGCAAGTATCCTCACCCAAGAGTCAAGTGTCTGGTCCCTAACGCAGAGAAATCCCTAGGAATGAGGCCTGGACTGGGTGTTGGATGCAGGAGAGGCCTGTTGAGATATCTTGATGGGTCTTCTGGGTCCAGAAGGATACAGAGACATGTCTATTCCAGCCAGAAGTCCTATCCCTCAGTCACCTTTCTCTCATTCATCACATATCTGACTCCAGGCTATCATGGTTTCACAAACCATAAACAATTACTAGCATGTTTTACTTTTGGTCCCCAGCCCCTAGTGACTCCTTCAGTACAGAGTTCTAGACTAATTTCCATTTCCTCCTAACTGCTATCATTTGACTATTATTTCTCTCCCTCGGCTGCCAGACAACCAGGCAGGTGGAGACGGAAAACATGTCACTGTGTTTAAGACCTATATTTCCCCATGGGAGAAAGCCATGGGCGTTGACCCCCAGCAGAAAGTGGAACTTGGCATCGACCTTCTGGCCTTCGGGGCCAAAGCTGAACTCCCTAAGTATAAGTCCTTCAACAGGTAAGGGGGATGAGAAAGGAACCTGATGCATTCCAGTGTATGGCAACATGTCCTTAGTTGGAATGGAGACTTTGGTTCAGCTGTTTCAGAAGGAGACTGAGGAGGCATAGGAGTAATATGGGGGCCCTAATTGAAGGCTCTTGCCCTTTTCACTCTAGCTCAGAGAAACAGCATGGTATGATGAAGGAAAAATTTGCTAGGAGGCAGGATCTGAATTTCAGTTCATTGTTATTAGCTGTGTGGGAAAGGAACCCTACTTCTGAACCTTGGTTGCCTTGACTGTGAAATGGGAATAATATATTAGACACATGTAAAGGGCTCTTGGGGGGGGGGTCCCTTCATTCAAAGTTATAATTTTCATTACTGTCCTTGTAGTAGAGTTCTATTTCTCTTTTCTTTTTTCATTGAAGTATAGTTGACTTACAACAGTATATTGTTTTCAGGTGTAAAACAGTGACACAGTATTTTTATAGATTATGTACCACACAAAGTTATTATAATGTTATTGAAGATTCTGTTTCTTTATTCCCTACTTTGAAGTAAAACGTGAAGTGAAAGTGTTAGTTGCTCAGTTGTGTCCAACTCTTTGTGACTCCGTGGACTGTAGCCTGCCATGCTCCTCTGTCCATGGAATTCTCCAGGCAAGAATACTGGAGTGGGTTGCCATTCCCTAGTTCACCTAGTCCAGGGGATCTTCCCCACGTGGGGATCAAACCCAGATCTCCTGCTGCATTGCAGGCAGATTCTTTCCGGTCTGAGTCACCAGGGAAGCCCCTACTTTAATAAGGCTCAAATACCGATCCTTTTGGAGCTAAGCTTCTCTAGACTGTGTGAAAACAGGACAGGGAAGCACTAGAGAAATGCTTTTGCTTTTGGTCCTGAGTGAGTGAGTGAGTGAAAGTTGCCCAGTCATGTCCGATTCTTTGGGACCCCATAGACTGTAGTCCATGGAATTCTCCAGGCCAAAATACTGGAATGGGTAGCCATTCCCTTCTCCAGGGGATCTTCCCAACCCAGGGATCAAACCAGGGTCTCCTGCATTGCAGGTAGATTCTTTACCAGTTGAGCTACCAGGGAAGCTCTTTGGTCCTGAGGTGCCTGGATTTTCCAGGAAATGTTAATTCTTCTCATTTAGGGCACACATTATCCACTGGAGGTGGGGTAGGGGTTTTGAGGGAGGTATCTACATTATAATTTAAGGTGATCTCAGACCCATGGGCCTGTAGTGTTTGGTGTCCATTTTTCTGAAATGTGACTGGTTTGGATCACAGCTATCCATGAGACTGTTTAGTACCCTTTAGACCACTTTTCTCTTTATTAGCCTTGGGGAAGCAAGCAAACCAGAAGGTGGAATGGATTACTAAGGGAGAAGAAAAAAAAGCATTGCAGAAGTGATCTTAAACTAGAATTCACAGACTTCTCCATCCTCCAAACAGGGTAACATTTCACTGACAAACTTTTTCTTTTGTTCTGGTTTTTAATGAAATCATGTTTCTCCTTTTCAGGACAGCAATGCCTTATGGTGGATATGAGAAGGCCTCCAAACGCATGACCTTCCAGATGCCCAAGTTTGACCTGGGGCCCTTGCTGAGCGAACCCCTAGTTCTCTACAACCAGAACCTCTCCAACAGGCCTTCTTTCAATCGAACCCCTATTCCCTGGCTGAGCTCCGGGGAGCCTGTAGACTACAATGTGGATATTAGCATCCCCTTGGATGGAGAAACAGAGGAGCTGTGAGGTGTTTCCACCTCTACTTTGTATCAAGTTTCCCCTCTCTGGTTCCATTTTGGAGAGGGAATACTGAGCAGGATACCCCCACTGAAAATACAGGATCCTTGTGGGACTGGAGGGAAAAAGAAGGGAAAGATCTTTCTTTTCACTTTTCACTCAAAGTCCCCACTCCAAGCATCTTTTCTTACCAACTCAGAGCTCCCCTTCCACTGCTCTGTATGGAACCTGCTCTTTTATGGAATTTGCTCTGCCTTCAGTAACAGTTAATAAACTTCAAGGAAATGAACTCATTCTTCCTCTGATATTTGAGGGCAGACAAAAACTGAGGCTAACAATGCACAGGGACTAATTAAAGTAAAATACCATACATTCATTATTCAGACTTCAAGACCAGACCTGAGTTCTGATTACATACCCACACTCATATCCACACCCAGCAAACCACATTCATAGGTGTATACAAAGACATATTTATTCAGTAGTACATTAGACAATCAGCACAAACACATGTCCTGGCCCCTGTGTGGGCAAAGCTAAGAAGTAATTGTGTGCTGTGTTTAGGAAATTAGGCGTTGGTGACCCTGGTGTTAATTCTGTTTATGTAGCTGATTAGAAATTGGGATAATCAAGATTATCCAATTATCACAGAATGACAGAATGCCATAAGACTTCCAGATGACACCAGGGTGAGCTTAGGAATATCTGTCAAAGGTTACAGGTTCCTGAAAGGATGGAGTAGAATAGGGAGCCATGTTGGAATTGAGAAGGAAGTGGGAGAAGCCAGCTGCAGTTATGGTATGCCTGGCTCTGTGTGAAAACATCAAGAAAAGATCTAAGGGTCATAAGGGCAAGTGCAATCATGTCCAGAAAGCACTATAATTGGGAAGAAACCATCAAAGTCCAATAGGAATGAGTAACAATACTCTTTTTATTGATTCAAGCATGGGGTTTCTTTCAAGTTTTATTGTAGTTTTTTAAGATTGATTTATTTATTACTATTATGTGTTAGACTGTGGTGGGTCATTGTTGCTATGCTTGGGCTTTCTCTAGTTGCAGCAAGCAGGGACTATTCTTAATTGCTGTGTGTGGGCTTCTAATTGAGGCGGCTTCTCTTGCAGAACACAGGCTCGAGGCACTTGGGCTTCAGCAGTTGCAGCGTGTGGACTCCGTGGTTGTGGCTCGCGGGCTCTAGAGCACTGGCTCAGCAGTTGTGCACGGGCTTACTTGTTCCCTGGCATGTGGTATCTTCCCAAACCAGGGATCAAACTGGTGTCCCTTGCATTGCAAGGCAGATTCTTAACCACTGGACCACCAGGGAAGCCAGCATGGGTTTTCTTTAGAGTCCCAGATTTACTCATGTTTCACAAAATAAAGAGTTTGATGCAGACCAGGAAAAATAGATGACTTACTAGGATCTGGGGAAGTAACTTCTAAGGAGAGCTGGCTGAATTCAGTTCATTCCATGAGCCATTAAGGATTATAATAAGTTCCTAGACACTGCCTAGACTCATTCAGTTTTCATGGACCTAGAGTCACATGATAATTACTCTGGTCACTTTCCTTTACAACCTAAATAAATTTCAGAGGATTCATACTTCTAAAGTGAAGTGAAAGTGAAAGTTGCTCAATTGTGTCTGATTCTGCCACCCCATGGGCTATAGGGTTCATGGAATTCTCCAGGCCAGAATACTGGAGTGGGTAGCCTTACCTTTCTCCAGGGGATCTTCCCAACCCAGGGATCGAACCCAGGTCTCCTGCATTGCAGGCGGATTCTTTACCAGCTGAGTCACAAAGGAAGTCATACTTCTAAGTAATACACAAACCTATGTCTATATGCATTTTTCTAAGAAGAGTTGTCATAGTTTGGATTTCCCCCCAGTAGACGCTGAAACAGAAATTTGGATTCAAGTAGTAAATTTGGGAGATGATCCAAGAATCTAAGCAGTGTAAGGGAGTGAGAAGAAGGCCAATAAATATCTTTTGGGCAAATGGGGCTGATTCTTACTGGCAACTCTCTGAGAAAAAACGTTAAAGTGTGGTCCATGGACTGGCAGTATCATTTTCTCCTAGAAGTTTGATTAAAATCACAAATTCAAGGGAATTCCCTGGCTGTCTAGAGGTTAAGATTTGATGCTCTCACTGCCAGGGACCTGGGTTTGAACCCTGGTTGGGTAACTAAGATCCTGCAAACTCTGGCCAAAAAATATGGAAATTCAAGAATTGATGTCTTATTAATCTCTCCGGGTGATTTTTATGTGTTAGTAAATTTTGAGAAACTCTATCATAAAACATACTTTAGAATTGCCTCACTGAGGAGGGGTAGAAATTGGAATATTTAGCTATCAAATCCCATCTCTCATTGGTTATAGATTGCTATGGGGAATATTAACTCTGCTGACATTTCCAGGCAAGGAGAACACTCAGGTGTTTAAAGTAGAAAGCTCTGGGCTTGTATAGGATTTGTCTGGCAAAGCTTTAGTGAACTCCAGGATAGGCTGAGGGAATATGGGCAGGGCACAGACAGGACCTGAATAAAGGTTCATAACTTTTATCAGATTCTCATGTTTAAAAGTCTGTAAAGGACTTTCCTGGTGGTCCAGTGCTTAAAATACTCTGCACTTCCAATGCAGGGGGCCCAGGTTCAATCCCTGGTCAGGGAACTAGACCCCACATACCACAACTAAGACCTGGCACAGCCAATAAATAAAATAAATTTAAAAATAAAATTTTTAAAGAAGTTTGTGAGCCCTCCCCAAAAGTTAAGGACTATATTCCTTCAGCAGATGTTTCTTGAATGCCTACTATATACCAGGTACTATTATCAGACATCAGAGATACAAAAGCAAATAGGAACTTTCAGGTGACAAAGAGATTTCCCTGTCAACTATAAAATAATTATTAAATGCCTACCCTTAAAGTTGAGGTAAAAAAAATTCCCAGGCCTAATAGTCCACAGCTCTAAAAAACTAGAAATTTAATTTTTCTAATCTCAGAATATTTGAAATATTGATGTAAACCTATTAATTTACAGGGAGCCCAGGTTGGTTGAGACATTATCTTAGTTCAGTTCAGGTGAGTTGCTCAGTTGTGTCCAACTCTTTGCAACCCCATGGACCACAGCACACCAGACCTCCCTGTCCATCACCAAGTCCTGGAGTTTACTCACACTCATCTCCACTGTGTCGGTGATGCCACCCAACCATCTCATCCTCTGTCGTCCCCTTCTCCTCCTGCCTTCATCTTTCTCAGCATCAGGATCTTTTCAAATGAATCAGCTCTTTGCATCAGGTGGCCAAAGTACTAGAGTTTCAGCTTCAACATCAGTCCTTCCAATGAACACCCAGGACTGACCTCCTTGGACTGGTTGGAGGACTGGTTGGATCTCCTTGCAGTCCAAGGGACTCTCAAGAGTCTTCTCCAATACCACATAGTTCAAAAGTATCAATTCTTCGGCACTCAGCTTTCTTTATAGTCCAACTCTCACATCCATATGACTACTGGAAAAACCATAGCCTTGCCTAGATGGACCTTTATTGGCAAAGTAATGTGTCTGCTTTTTAATATGCTGTCTAGGTTGGTCATAACTTTCCTTCCAAAGAGTAAGTGTCTTTTAATTTCATGGCTTCAGTTACCATCTGCAGTGATTTTGGAGCTCAAAAAAATAAAGTCTGTCACTGTTTCCCCATCTATTTGCCATCTTCTTAGTAGAAAAGTCTATATAGAAATCAAATTATTATTAGAAGTTGCAGTGGTGGTTTAATGTATTAGAGTGCACACTTGTATAGGATCTAGCCAGAAACCTAGTCAAATCCTCAATTTTGGTTTCGCTATCTCTTTGCTTGGACATCATTGTGTTAAAACATCTTTTCTTCAAAAATGCTTCATTCATATGAATGCCACAGTTCACAGAGGCCACATTCTAGTAGAAGATCTAGCTGTCCATATTGCTTATAGACATGTTCTGCTTGCCATCATTGTGTTTTAAAATTCAGGACAGTTTTGAACTCCTTTATTTTTATTAAAAAATTTTTTTCCTTATGATCAGAACTCATAGGATTTGTTTTCTTTTTCTTTTAAGATTTGTTTTCTTAACCACTTCCATATATAACATACATCAGTGTTAATAATTTATCAGGTTGCACATATTCCTCTTACAACTGGGAGTCTTAAATCTTTTGATTACCTTCATCCAATTCCCCACTCCTGTCAACTCCCCACCTCTGGTAACTACAAATCTGATCTCTTTTTCTATGAGTTTATCTTTGAAGTATAATTAACCCACAACACTATTAGTTCCTGTTACACAACATAGTGATTTGATATTTCTATACATTTCAAAATTATCACTACAATAAGTCATTACGATGTCACCATAAAAAGATACTACACAATTATTGACTATATTCCATATGTTGTACATTTCATACCAGTGACATTTATTTTGCAACTGGAAGTTTGTATCTCTTAGTTTCCCTCACCTGTGTCTTTCTTCTCCCCACCACCCTTCTGTCAGGCAACCACTTGTTTTTTTCTCTGTACCTGCAATTGTTTCTAGTTTATGTTTGCTCATTTGTTGTTTTTTAGACTTCACACGTAAGTGAAATCATACAGTACTTGTCTTTCTGACTTATTTCACTTAGTGTAATGCCTTCTGTGTCTATCCAAGTTGTTACAAATTACAAGATCTCATTCTTTTTTATGTGTGAATAATATTCCATTATATATACATTATATATATAATATTTATGTATCACATTCTTTATCCATTCATCTATTGATGGGAACTTTGGTTGCTTTAAATTTTAACTACTGTAATAATGCTGTCAAGAACATAGGGGTGCATATATCTTTTCTAGTTAGCATTTTCATTTTCTTCAGATAAATTCCCAGGAGTGGAATTGTTGGATCATATAGTAGCTCTACTTTTAATTTTTTGAGGAATTTCCATGCTGTTTTCCATATGGCTTCAGGAAACCTTGCTTTCAAATAGAAGCTTGTACTCTTTA